TGAAAAGGCACTGGGGTTTCCAGGGTTTGCTGGGGGTGGGAAGGGGAGAGTTACCCTCTGGCCATGAAACCCTTGTAAAGAGGGTGTTGGAAATCTGAGCCCTGACTATTCCTGGACATGGATGCTGATGTGCCCATGCTTGGGAAGTCTCTAGAGCCAGCCTGGGGATAGCTGGAACGTTTACTTGGCTAATGAAGTGCCCCCCTCAGAAGGAACTGGTGCTATAAAGGAGGGTACTGCCCAGGTCCTTGACAAATGTAATTCTGGCCCAATTAAAGTTCAGTGTTTTTGATTAAGTGGACCTGAAGCCATTCAGTTTGTTTTTTCACATTATATTCTGGCCTATAACTTGCTTGCTTCTGCTTCTCAATTCTTTTTTGAATCTAAGCTGGTATGGACTCCACTCTACCAGGGAAACAGATTATCCTGATAAAACTGATCCCAGCTTAAGGTAAAAGCTTTATTTTTCACTGATGTCCAGGCTATTATGAATTAACTGGATAATGAAATGTGTCACCCATGTTCTTAGTCCTTAGAACTCAACAGTAGCACCATTTAATCAACATTGCACAGTGATGCTCTGTGAGATGCATAGCAAATTCTTAATTTTACTGACAGTGTTTTTAGTTTAGAAAACAAAATGATAGAATTTAGTCCTGTTTGAAAGTTTTAAAAATTGTTTTCATGCTCAATCACTTTGTCAGTTACTCAGTAAATACCAACTTTTAGAGTAAGTACACAAATGGCAGACAAGGAAGACTATAAAAACCCAAAAGCATCCTCAGGCCCCGAATGTGGCCTAATCTTGATTGTTGGTATGCCACTGGGTGGGTTCAGGCTAGCTATTTATAAAGCCAGAGTGAACTAGATAATCATATATCAGAGGGCTTTTGTACTTAGCATCTAATAAATTAATATTATGACTGAAGGCTACATGGAGTGGCTTCCTAGAATCAAACTGTGTACAATTTTAAGGGAATTTCTTGATAATCTGAAGCAGACACTAGATCCAACTTGAAGAATTTTGTTTTAAGAAACTTGTAAATTCCCTAAATGGTGCCAAAAATGATTTTAATTTTAAAATAGTTCTTGGTAATTGATGCCACAAAAAGTACTGGTGTGATCACATTAGGAGAGATTATTCATACAGAAATAAGAAACTGGGAATTTGTGGCCATCGAGAATAAGAATGAGATGGTATGGAGAATAGCTTTTAGCTATTTATTGGGGACCCATGTTTCCTGGGCTATAATGTGGACACTGTAGGTTGCAGAAAAGCTCTGTCCCTCAAGCAAACTGTAGTAGGAACTCCACAATTTGTATGACATCTCGACTCATGGTAGCTTACCCTGCAATTTTAACTGAAATTTGTACCTGCATTAAAGCAATAGCATCCAAAAACAAGGGGAATATTAAAAAAATATAAATCCAAGTCAAACTTTTAGGAAAAGCAAAGGATGGCAGTTAGTTAGGTACAGGCACATACCTGCTTTTAGTAAAAGGAAAAGAGAACACTGGTAGGGAGTTAAGTTGTAACTGAAAAAACAGGCCCAAACTGACCCTTCAGAGAATGATTTTTCTGTCACAGGCAGAAAGAAAACTCAGGAAAAATAGCTAGTCAATCTGTCCAAATAAAATTTGAATTTCAGTGTCTGGATTCAAGTACCCTTGGGTAAATCATGTCATCAACCTGCCTGAAATTCTCCAATAACCTTCCATTACATTTATTCTAAGTCTCAGTCCTTCCCCTGGCTTTAGGTCCTGACTGATCTAGTCTAGCACTCTATCCAAATGCTGACCCCTTTCCACTCCTTTCACTAAGTTGCTGGAACATGCTAAGCAGTTCCCTTCCTTGGGTCCTTTCCAACTGTGTTCCTTTTTCTATGACTGACAAACACTCACCATTCACGTCCAATGTTACGGAGATCCTCTCGTGACCCAATCCAAAGTGACTCAACACTATCACATACCCTGATTTATATTAAACAGGACTTTGCTACACAACGATTTATGACCTTTCCCCACACCAACAACTAATAAGTAGGATAGAGAGTTTCATTTTCCCTTAAATAAGCAGAGCCTGAAAGTTATGAATCTTGACGCATGGTCAGTAAGTATTCAGTAATAATTTAAGTATGGAAGGTACTGCTTTTAAGCCAAAAGAAATGGTGGCCTTAGGGGGAAAAATTAATTTTCAAATAATAAAATTTTGCTGGGTATATAGCTCTTTAATACAAAATTGAGATGAGTTATACCATTTAGAAGGTTGTAGCTTCTAAGAACCTGAACAAAAATGAACCAGGCAGAAATGCCAACTTAAAATGAAAATTTTATATAAATTAACCCATTGAGTTTAGATTTGCTATGCTTCACTTAATTCTCAATAAGGAAGAATATAGACTTCCCATATTAATAAATCACACCAAATAAGCAGGAAGAGTTTCAATAATAAGCCTATAGATACACTGAAACCCTCTTTTATATTAAAAGTTAAAATGAATGACAAATCCAGATTGAACATAGTGATTGCAAAATATAATGCAATTCTGAACAATTAAAATTATGAAAATATACAAAATTGATGGGCAACACAACTAGGCATTTGTTTTCTATTATGTAGAGAACACTAAAAATTTCTCTACCTTTTATCCATCAAGTAAATGACTTAAACCAAATGTTTACTTTGGAGAGTCTTTAACTCAGGATCTCAGTAGTATAAAAGGCAATAATTTTTTAGTCTGTAAACAGTAGTCGTTTTTTTTTTCTCCTTTCCTTTTTTTTTTTTTTTTAATATCAATTTACCACAGAAAAACTAAACAAAAAAACCATATAAACCAAAACAACAGCAGCAGCGGGTTATTTGGGAAATCTCTTCAAATATCAATGACATACAATTGCTGGGAGAGGGTGCTTTTTACTCATGTAAATATATATATGTACACACACACACATATATGTATGTATGTGTGTGTGTATTTTATATATATATTAAACTGTACACAATTTATAGTGCAGGACAGTTTCCAAAGGAACAGATTGATAAAAGATATTGGCCATTTCTGCATAATTTCATTCTTTTTACAGTAATCTCAAAATGTGAGAGTTGAATCTAACTGAAATGCTACATTTTGTAGGAAAATCAGCAAGTAACAAAGGAAGCATAACTTCAAGGTAACATTATTTGTCAGTAAAACCAGTAGAAGTCCCAGATACTCCAAGGCAGGAGACCAGTTAGGCAGACCATTAGAGTCATTGCAGTCCTTGACCAAGGCCAGCCCATTAAGCATACATATGATAGACTGATCAATAGACTTGTATCAAAGAGCATTTCTATTTCTTTGCACAGTACTTTTTTGGATATGCAAAGAAACATCATTCCAAGAACATAGCCATACACATACCCTCCCAAATACACACAGTTCCATCTAAAATAGGCCATAGTTATATGAACTAATGACACATTGTCATTAAAGGATATTCAGAATCAATCGGGTTGTTCAGTTCATCTTGTTCAGGAGGACAGTTATTCCCTTTAGGATGGGGTGTTTGACAGTTGTGGCTACTAAATTTATATAAAATATGATGTTTTGAAATTACTTGATGGACTAGGTTTTCCAACAAGTCTTATTTTGAACAGGTAATATAATTTTTAAACAGTTATTAATTACCATATCAAATTGTCAATAAGAAAGTCAAGGAGGGACAAAATGCATACATAGATTTTCCCAGCTCTTTTGGTTGCTTTTAAAAAAGTATCACATTTCACTGGAGCAGTGCATAGGAAAGGACCTTGAAAAGGTCTTTAAGACCAATCCTCCATCAGATGTTGGAATTTCCTCATCAAATTCATTTCTTTGCCCTTACAAAATTACTAACTTCAAAACAGAAAAAAAGAAGCAGGAATTCAAACACCAAAAAAAAAAAAAAAATCAAAGAAAGTGTAAAAATTGTATAACATTTTCAAGAGCAATTTTTATCTTTTCTTCAAGACCAACCTCTGAAGCTACAGTCTTGGGGACAAGACCTCCAGGTGAACAAGGTAAATACAATCCTGGTACGATTCTTAAGTCTCAAGAAAGTAGACTGAACATTAAACCCACTGGGTAACATTTCTTTTGCCAGCCTAAAACTTAAAACCTAGTTTAAATCCATAATATATATTCCTTCTTCACCAACCCCCCCCACTTGAAAACACTAAAATAGTAATTAATTTTCAAGCATATATACACACATATGATTCATGAATCGACTGCAGTATATAACTCACAAAACTGATGAAATAAGTATCAGTATTGCCTGCATAAATTATGTACACCTCTCTTGAAAACAGTGATTCCCAAACTTCCCAAATGGATGAAAGACAGCAAGCTAGTCCTTAGCAGGCTTGTTAAATGGTCTGTACTACTTTCCTCTCTAAATACCTACAAATTAATAAGGTCTTCCTTGTCTCCCTATCTGAGATTTAACTTTCACAGGAACGTGGATGGGGCTATCTTGGCTATCAGGATTATTAGGCCAAAAAAAAAAAAAAATCAGCACCTGTGGTCATCTGAGTAGTGCCCTTCAGGGCAAGTGATTATGCTAAATCTCGCCTGAGGTCTGCTGTGGACCTGCCTTGGGTTCTGAGGAAGCCTCAAATGCACCTGCTGCAGTGGAAAAGGGCCTGCTCCTGGTCATATCCCCCTCTACTTCTCTTTTCTGCTTCCTATGGCTCAAGAACAAACTAAACTCCCACTGCTGTAATGGGAGGGCCATCCAGCTGCTTTGAGGTCAATGCTTTATGCTTAATTTCTATTGCTGCTTTTGAATAGAAACCCTTTCCCCTCCCAGATGTTTCTGGTGATGGGAGGCAAGAAAAGTAAGGGGTTCTCTTGTTGCTGCCATATGCATATGAACATTTATAAAAAGTGGTCAAACCCAGATGAGGGTCCTACTTCTGGTTTATATACAATAATTTAGTCAGCTGTATGTATTTAATACCTAAAAAAATTAATTCACAATCGAAGTCCTTCATGCATTTTATGAGGAAGTTCTGGATTAAAATGATGATCAACCAGATGTTGCTTTTGCCTGGGAAGATAGTATCGTCATTTTCCGCTGTAGAGTCATCAGTGCCTGTGGTCCACACTTCCTTAAATTTTTAGTTTCTTTGTGGTCTCAAGTCTTTTTTTCAGCAGATCCCCCATTTCCAGAAGTGAGTGTAGGTAACTGCTCTGCACTTTCCCTTGCACAGTCTTTGAAAATTTTCTTTCTTCCTATAAAGAAAGAGAAAACTAAGTGGTTTTGCTCAAAAATGATTCTCCTAGATTAGAGTTACTCAGATAAAAGTTAAAACTACCATTACCTCAATGCAAGCTCCATCAGAACAGAGTGAGTCATTTTCAGTATCAAAATGCAGAGGCTAAAAGCTAATCACAGGTATTTTTCAATGTTTTTTTTTTTTTCACTAAGACCCTGTTGCTTCAGAAAAGCATTCTATCCAGCACCTTTGTTACAAGTTATATAAAGTAGGAAAGCAAATTTCTTACAGGTAGCTTTTCATCAAGAAAAAAGATGGGGACTGGGGTTATGGCTCAGTGGTAGAGCACTCGGCTAGCATGTGTGAGGCCCTGGGTTTGAGTCTCAGCACCACATAAGAATAAATACATAAAGGTCCATTTACAACTAAAATAAATACATATTTTTAAAAATTCAAACACCAAAAACAGTTATCAAAGAAAGTGTAAAAATTGTACAACATTTTCAAGAGCAATTTTTATCTTTTCTTCAAGACCAACCTCTGAAGCTACATTCTTTGGGATAAGACCTCCAGGTGAACAACCATCTTAAAAAAAAAAAAAAAATGCAGCCACCTTAAAAAAAAAAAGGTGGTAAATGATTACTAAGTAGTTTGCACATAAAATTATTACTATTTTGTTATTAGCTACACAAAGTGTAAAATTAGAGATGTCTGATTTTTTTTGTTTTACCTCAAAATAGACATCATCATAGCCACTACTGAAGGGTCTCAGCTTTACCAACTCTTATCTTTTCCAGTTACAATACTAACATGTCTCCCTCTATACTGACAGAGTCTGTAAATACAAGACACCAAATGATAAAAGACAGAGCTTTCTTAGGCCTTCTCAAATGTACGAGTTAAATAATTGCTGCCACATATTTACTGTGGTAGAGACCACAAAAAAAAAAAAGGGGGGGGGGCGGGGAAGGAGTATTCACAAACAGAAATGAAGATGGCTGAGGACTGGGTATGTTTAAATAAAGTTGGCAGAGTTGCAAAGCCCAGGACTACAGAAGAAAGCAGGTAACATTTTTTGACCCATGAATACTACGATTTAAGATCTTATCTAGGGGCTGGGGTTGTGGCTCAGTGGTAGACTACTTGCCTAGCACACATGAGGCACTGGGTTCGATCCTCAGTACCCATAAAAGATTTGATTTTCATTTAGTATATATGTAAAAGCAAATAAATTCGGTCCTACATATTCATGGGTTCTGCACCCACTTATTCAACCAACTGCATATCCAAATTATTCAGAGAAAAAAAATTCAGTCTGTATATACAGAACATGCTAAGGCGTTTTTCTTGTCTCTAATAATATCAAAACAGTATAACAACTGTTTACATAGCATGTATATTATATTAAGTATGTAAATAATCTGGAGATAATTTAAAACATTCAGGAAGATGTGTTAGGTTTGATGCAAATACTACACAATTTTCTATAAGGGCCTTAAACCCCCATGGAATTTGAGTATCCTCAGTGTATGTGTGCATTCGTGCATGTATTCTGGGGGGAAAAAAATCCCACACGGATACTGAGGAATGGCTGTATAAAGAAACATCCTGCTGGGTGCAATGATGTAGCTATATCCCAGCTACTTGGGAGGCTGAAGCAGGAAGATCTCAAGTTTGAAGCCAGCTTGGGCAACTTAGCCAGATCCTGTCTCAGAATAAAAAATAAAAAGGGCTGGGGATGTAACTCAATAGTAGGTAGAGTATCTCTGGATTCAATCCTCCAAATCAGAAAATATAGGGGCAGGTGATGTATATAGCTCAGTGGTAATGTGTCCTTATTTTAAACCCCAGTACCCTCCCAACACACAAGAAACAAGCTAAAATGACCAATGACTGTGGTGCATTTTTATTTTGAATAATATACAGCTAAAATGAACAAGATTTGCCTATATAAGTTAGCCCAAGGAAATTCTGTGTGTATATGGTATGGGGATGGAACCCAGGGAGGCTTTTACAATTGAGCTTCATCCTTGACACTCTATTTTTTGTTTTGAGATTGACACAGGGTGTTGCTAAATTGCCAAGCTGTGAACTTGCAATCCTCCTGCCTCAGCCTCCAAGTTGCTGAGATTGAGTTGCTGTGATTGCGCCTTGACCTGAACAGATTCTGCAGTCAAGCTGCAGAACAGAGTGAATACTTTACTTTCTTTGTCCGTTTTACTGGGGATTGAATCCAGGGGCACTCAAACACTGAGCCACATCCCCAGCCCTATTCTGTATTTTATTTAGAGACAGGGACTCACTGAGTTGCTTAGCGCCTCGCTGTTGCTGAGGCTGGCTTTGAACTCATGATCCTCCTGTCTCAGCCTTCCAAGCTGCTGGGATTATAGGTGTGTGCCACCCCGCACTTTTAAAAAAGTACAAAATACAGTAATACCGTATGTTTTCTTAATGACTATAAATATACACAAAAAAGATGTTGATATATGACTTACAGGTCTAGTCCAGAGACCTTATAATGCTGGATTTCAACTTTAGAAAAAAAGGAAGGAAATGAAAAAGAAGCGAACCTAATGGAAACTGAATTGAAGAGGGTTATTCAATTTTTTTTTGTTGTTTGAAATACCTTTATTCATTTATTTTTATGTGGTGCTGATGATCCAACCCAGTGCCTCACATGTGCTAATCAAGCACTCCACTACTGAGCTCTAGTCCCAGCCACTGTTGTTTTTAACACAAAAGACTACTCAGCACTATGTGGAAACAATTTGGTAGTTGATATTGCTTACTGTACTGTAAATATCAAGACATTAATAAAGGCTAATTACTGCTTTGTTTAATCCTCACCATAATCCTATGAAATAGGTGTTAGCATCATCTTCATTTATAGATAAAGAAATTGATGCCCAGATAGAGTAACTAACTTTTCCAAGGTTATACTACAAAGCTAAGGACAACTTCTAGAATACTGAAATTGAGTCCTCATTTAAGAAGGCAGATAACAACTCAGTGGTCATAAATCAGCAGGGCTACTATGTCTGTCACCATGCAACTAACAGTCCTTCCCACACGCCATATTCTATGCCCCTGCCAACTGACTCACAGTGCCAAATATATTTCATTTTCCACCTCTGTGCCTTTGCCTGGGATGGCTTTCCTCCATTTCCATGTGCCTGGTGAAAATTAATCACTCTTCACAAAAGTACCCACTCCAATAAAATGGTCTCACTCATTCATTTCATTGTGAACAAGACTGCTTTCTCTAATCAGTCTTTGGTATGTCAAAAGCTTTGGGCTCCTTCCCACAGTAAGCACAACGTTCAAAGCTCTAACATGTTTAAACTTTACAAAAGAGAAGCTTATACTCTTTTAAGGTTGGTATACCAAGCAAGATTCCATTCATTCTCTCCCCTAGGAAGGTCTGCGTGGGCGTCTGAAACTAGGCCGACAGTCATCTCAGATTACTGGATGAGTTCTCTCATCAGCAAAGATTTAAGTCAGACACCTACTAGATGAAAACATTATCTAAGATCAGAATTTCATTGTTAGAGCAGCTGACTAGAAACAGATTGCTTTATCACTGCCCTTCTGGTTCCTACCAAAATCCTAAGCTGACTCCAGGTGAGTGAATTAACATTGACCAGAAAGAATCCATATATTTTATTAAATAAATCCCTACTTTAGAGGCTGAAGGTACATGCATTTCAGTGGTAGAGCTATTGCCTATTGTGTGTGAGGCCCTGGGTTTAATCCCCCGCACAAGGGGAGGAGAGAGGAGACCCATATTTTAAAGGCAAAACATTACAGGCATTTTGCTAACAACTAGGAGAATTTTAAGAAACGGTCCTAAAATAATATCAGGAGACATCTAATGGTTGTGAACAATGATTCATACTTGGCTCCATTCATTCCGTTTTTGGCAAGCTTATTCTAGCCTAATGATCAAGTAACAATTATTTCTGATGTCTAGCATCTCTTTCTTCAGGTGATAATTATTAGGGTGGCAAGGAGGGCAGCCTACTCAACAGCATATAAATTCTTAAGGAGATTGTTCTTGAATCTTAAGAGCATACCTAATTCCATCTGGTACTCAAAATAGGAAACAATTCATAATGTTAGCATTAGTTTTAATGGTGAAAGCATAACCCCCCAAATTTAAAAGGGGTGGGGAATCCCACAACCAACACAACAACAGAAAACTTCTGCCAAAGCACTTTCATTCACAAGACTTTTTTTTTTTTTTTTTTTTTTAATGCTTTCTGGGTTTTGTTTTGGGTTTGGTGGTTGTTGGTTGGTTTTGTTTTGGGATATAGGATATCAAGCCTACAAGTGTTGTATCTCTAAACTATATCCCCAGTATTTTTTGTTTTGGTACAGGGTCTCACTAGGTTGCCCAGGATAGCCTGAGCTTGAGATACTTCTGCTTCAGCCTCTGCAGTAGCTGTAATTACAAGCATATACCGCCATACCCAGCTAGTCTTATAAGAAGAAAATGATGGACTGAAAATTGATTTGTACTTTTGATAAAGATAACATTTGAAAAAAAAATATATATATATTAAAAAAAAAAAAAAAAACATTGCTGAGTGTCTATAATCTCTTACCGGAGAGAAAGAAGTGTCCTCTAAAATAAGTTCTTCAAGCTTAAGTGCAATTAGATGTGTTTCAAGTCCCTTAATATGATCCACAGCATTAGAAATTAAAGTCTGAAGTCCAGAAACATAGTCTTGGAAACTGGTGAAGACAGGTGGCTGGGAACAGGATTTGAAACATTTTTTAAAAGATGAAATACTATCAAACGCATTCCCAATGCTTACAACATGTAGGTATGCTGATTGCATGCTATTCCATGACAGGAGTGTGTGTGTGTGTGTGTGTGTGTATATATATATATATAAATATATATATATATACACACACACACACACACATACACCACCAAACAATATAACTGCAAACTCAAAAAAAGAATTAGAGAGAAGAGAATCCACTAGAAAATATATTACTTCATCATTCAACATACAGCCAGCCAGGAAACTCTACCACCTCTCTTCATTTCTTTAAGATTTCCAATAATGTTAATGGAGAACAGAAACATAATAATCTAAGTTTGAATAGAAAAAGTAAAAGATAGCAACAGACAAGAAAATTTAGAAAAAAGAACAGAGAAGGGGAACAGTGTCCTAACAGATATTAGATACATTTTGAAGTTATATTGAAGCCAGGCGGGGGGGTTGTAAGTAAAGTGTATTTATGAACAACTCTTTATAAGTAAATTGACAAAGTGCTGGGGGTGCAACTACATAGTAGAGCCCCTGCTTACTATGCACAAAGTCCTGAGTCTCATCCCCCATACCATAGGGGTGAAAAATGAGCAGAATGAAAGAAAAGAAAAAAGGCCCAAGATAAACTGAAAGACATGAGGGAAATTAAATGATAGTCAATAAATCTCAAAAAGAAAAAAAGAAACCGCCAAGAAAATACCAAAAGATAATTTGGCTAACAAATTTTGAAAAGCCTTTCTAAACATGATGCCAAACTAGAAAACATTCAAGATGTTCTTAAAAAATTACTACTTTAATTAAAAACAAAGCAACAGAAAAGGCTGGGTGCGTGCAGAATGCTTGTAATCCCAGCAACTCAGGAGACGGAGACAGGAGGATTGCAGGTTCAAAGCCAGCCTCAGCAATGGTAAGGCACTAAACAACTCAGTGAGACCTTGTCTCTAAATAAAATACAAAATAAGGCTGGGGATGTGGCTCAGTGGTTAAAAGTCCCTGAGTTCAATCCCAATACCCCAGAGAAAAAGGAAAAAAAAAAAAAATCATTCATTAAAAAACAGATGAGGGGGCTGGGTATGTGGCTCAAGTGGTAACGCGCTTGCCTGGCATGCGCGAGATGCTGGGTTCCATCCTCAGCACCACATAAAAATAAAGATGTTGTGTTCACCGAAAACTGAAAAAAATAAATATTAAAAAAATTCTCTCTTTAACAAACAAACAAACAAACAAAAAAAAAACAGATGAGGGCTGGGGTCATGGCTCAGGGGTAGATCGCTCACCTAGCATGTGCAAGGTGCTGGGTTTGATCCTCAGCACCACACGAAAATAAATAAATAAAATAAAGGTTAAAAAAAAAAAAAAGAATGCTTTAAAAAAAATGACAATTTAAGAAAAAAATTGCTTCATTGGGCTGGGGTCGTGGCTCAGTGGTAGAGTACTTGCCTAGCATGTGTGAGGCACAGTGTTCGATTCTCAGCACTGCAAATAAATAAAGATCCATTGAAAACTAATTTTTTTTAAATTGCTTAATTTATACTGAGGATTAATAACATTATTAAGAAACCAACAGAGCAAAACTTATCAATAGGCCAGGAGCAGTGGCACATGCCTATAATTCTATTCAGGTGGCCTAGGCAGTAGGATAGCAAGTTCAAGGATAGCCTGGGAACTTATCGGAGGCCCTGTCTCAAAACAAAAAATAAAAAGGGTGGAGGATTTAGTTTAGTGATAAAGCATCCCTAACTTTAATTTCTAATCGGGTATTAGGGAAGTGGGGAAGTATAGACACTAAGAAAAATACTTCTACGAGAGGAAACTTGAACAAAGAACAGATCATAGATTATCTAGCAAGGTGTGGTGATACACACCTGAATTAGTAGCAACTCAAGAGGTTGAGACAAGATGATTGCAAGTTCAAGGCCAGCCTCAGTAACTTAGCAAGGCCCTAAGCAACTCAGTGAAACCCTGTCTCAAAATTAAAAATAAAGAGAGCTAGGGATGTTACTCAGTGGCAAAATGTCCCTGGATTCAATCCATAATAGCAACAAAAGAAATATCAGAAAACTTCAATTTTTAAACACATATAAACATATAAACACACAAACACATATATATTATATAAACATGAGAGCCCGGTGGCTCATGCTTTTCACTCAAGAAATAGTCTAAGACATACACAGTGACACGTGTCTATAATCCCAGCAATTTGGGAAGCTGATGCAGGAAGACTGCTTAAATCCATAAATTCAAGATCAGCCTGAGCAAGTGACCAGCTAGTAAGATTCTTTTTAAAAAGAAGAAAAAAAAAAAAAAGAGAAAATGAAAACTTTTAAGATCCTAATGACTCTTAAAACATGCAAGAAAACTTTTGAAAAGAAAAAACAGTCTGTAGCTAGATTGTTATTTGTGTTTTTCTGTTATTACCATGATGATACTGGTTTCTTTTTTCTTCTTTTTCTTTTTCTGTAAACTTAATTTGTATGGTCGCAAGACACTCTCGCAGTAACTGGACACCCAAAGGATAACAGAAATAGTCTGAAAGTGGAAAATGTGCAAAATAATCAATCAAGATTACAATCCCATCAGGAAGTTAAAGGCAATTGAAAAAGAAATTCTAACTGGAAGTTCTGTGCAAATCCTTTTTTTTGTGGGGGAGTGTTACTGGGGATGCAACAAGGAGCTCATACATGTTAGGTAAGTGCTATATCTCTGAGCTACATTCCTATGCAATTCCTTTCGATTTCTCCCCTGAATTTATTTTCACTCTCACATCTTTATTTGTTCTTCCTTTGGGGGCACAAGGCAGTCTGGGGAGAAACTGGGGATAGAATCCAGGCTTTTATGCAGCACCAGTCTTTCATTTCTACAGTCACATGTTGATTCAGCACTTTTTCTTCTGCTCAGAATACTGCAATACCCTATCTACCTTTTAATTATTTCTTCTGGCTCTCCCAGCTAACTCCACATCCTCCACTCCATTCTGTTTCTTTCACATCTCTGTATAATTAGGGATCTATTAACATCCTTTTTGCTTAGTCCAAATTCCTAGGCACTGAATCTAAAGATTCTTTACAATATGGCTCACTCCACATGCTTTGCCAGACAGGTAAGATACCATTTCACTTGCAAATTTTGACTGAAGATATATGGAGATGGGCATGACAGCACACACCTAGAATCCCAGCCCCTTGGGAGGCTGAGACAGGTGGACAGCAAATTCCAAGGCAGCCTCAGAAATTTAGCAAGGCCCTAAGCAACACAGAAAAACCCGGTCTCAAAATAAAGAGGGCTGAAAATGTAGTTTGGTGGTAGAGAAGATCCCTCAAATTGATCAGCACAGATCCTGGATTGTATTAAATTAGCTATTTACCAATCTCCTCCTATATTGCAGTGTGTGCATATATGTGCATATGCAGTTACTGCTTTATCTCTTTGGCACTTCTAATATGCTAGTCGCCAGACAAGAGTATATTGCTTTTGGGGAATTAGACTAGTAGGGAAGGAGAAGTAAACAACTTTGTGACAGAATTAAAGGAAAGATAATGGATTATGAGTGAATGCAATCCTCCTTTTTTCCTCTAGCTAACCAGAGAGTTTGGTTATATCAAACCCTGGACTCCTTCATAATGCAGAATATCTCAGTAATTAGTAAACAATAACAAAAAATGTAAGAAGCTGAAAGAACTAACTTAAACTCCAGAACAAAGAGTGAGTCAGGGACTGGGGTTAGGACTCAGGGGTAGAGCACTTGCCTAGCACATGTGAGGCACTGGGTTCAATCCTTAGCACCCACATAAAAATAAATAAATAATGGGCTGGGCTTGTGGTTCAGTGGAGAGTACTTGTCTCATATGTGTGAGTAACTGGGTTCAATCATCAGCACCACATTAAAATAAATAAAGATACGGTGTCCATCTACAACTAAAAAAAATATTAAAAAATAAAAATAAAAAGAGTGAGTCGGGCCGGGTGTGGTGGCACACACCTATAATCCCAGTGGCTTCGGAGGCTGATGTAGGAAGATCAAGAGTTCAAAGCCAGCCTCAGCAACTTAGTAAGGCCCTAAGCAACTCAGTGAGACCCTATCTCTATAAAAAAGGGCTAGGGATGTGGCTCAGTAGTTAAGTGCCCCTGGGTTCAATACCCAATAAACAACAACAATGGGAATAAAAGAAAAGAAAAAAACCAAATCAAACCAAACCAAAACAAAAACAAAGAGTGAGTCAGAAAATGGAAAGGAAAAAAATAGCTAGATTTGGAATGATTCCGGGTAACCTGAGAAATCACTAAAATAACTTCCAATAAATTTTACCTCAGCATTATGAATGAAATCATTGTAGAATTCTTGGAAGGAGATGGTTTAGAAAATGATTTAAAGGGCTTTTCAATTAACAAAAGCAGGATTACAAAACAAAAGCATGATTACAGGAAGTGGCACATGCCTGTAATCCCAGCAGTTTGTGAAGCTGAGGCAAGAGGATCATGAGTTCAAAGCCAGCCTCAGCAAAAAGCAAGGCACAACGCAAAGTGAGACCACCCTGTCTCTAAATAAAATTCAAAATAAGGCTGCAGGGATGTAGTTCAGTAGTTAAGTGCCGCTGAGTTCAATCTGGGGTACCAAAACAAACAAACAAAGCAGGATTACAGAGGTTAAATTGTAAGTATAGGATGGGTGCAGTGGTGTGCGCCTGTAATCCCAGAGACTCAGGAAGCTGAGGCAGAAAATTTAAAGTAAGAGACCTATCTAGGCAAATTAGGGACACCTTGTCTCAAAACTGGGGGAATGGGTATCTGGTGATATACCTCAATAAATAAAGCACCACTGGGTTCACTTCCCAGTCTCCACCCCTCAAAATTATATTTAATTAATTAATTAATTGCAGGAATATGGTGCCTGTTACCTGTTCATTGTGGAAGAGAACAAAAACTTACCTCAACAAAGAAGACAAGATTTTCTAAACGGGTAGGATGTGTTTTCAAGTTACCATCTTTAACTTCTAAGAGGTCACCTTTACATCTACTGAAGACATCTGAAGACAAAAAGATATTTTTATGGTTTTATTCGCCTTTTGTTTCAATGCTATTTTCAGGAACACAATCTATATAATCTAATAGAAAATAAGCAAATATAAAAAGCTTAGTTCAGAAACTTTTTTTTTTAACCACAGTGAACCAAAAACTAGAGCATAACTATTTTAAGCCTCTAAAAGTCATATTTACTATGGCTGTACAGACTTCAAAATAATATATTCTCGCCAGGTATAGTGTGATAAACCTGTAAACCCAGTTACTTGGTAGGCTGAATCAGGAAGGAGCACAAGTTCAAGGACAGCCTAGGCAATTTATTGATACTGTCTCAAAATAAATTTTTTTAAAAAGGGATAGAGATAACTCAGTGTGTACAGTGCTTACCTAGCATGTACAGAAACCCTGAATTCAATCCCCACCATTAATTAATTAATTAATTGTAGAGTCTAAGATATCTCAAAAATAGGTCATGCATGGTCCCAATAAAATTAAAATTGAGTGAATGATTTAGAAGAACTTGCATCGTGGAATGAAAGATCAAGAAAGTATACTACAGAAATGCATCTTCATACCACAGGCTATGTTTTATTCTTATACTCTTGATCATCTTTTAATTTTCAGACATCTTTCATATGAGCAATAAAGTAAAAGACCATTTAGGTCCCTGAGAAGACTGACCCTTACAGATTTAGAATGCATATATACCTTTATTTTTATTTTTTTTCTAAGTTGGATACCTTTATTTTACTTATTTATGTGGTGCTGAGGATGGAACCCAGTGCCTATCACTGAGCCACACCCCCAGCCCACATACATACCCTTTTAACAACAATTCCATTTCAAAGAAATTTTATCCCAAGGAAATAACCAAATAATTACTCAAACACTGTGTCCCAAGATATGAATTTCAACATTATTATAAATGTAAGAAATAATGCAAGTATATGTCAAACAGAGGAGTTCACAAGTAAATTTGTTATACTGACATTTCAGAATATTATGTATTATTAAAAGTGAACACATAGGGCTGGGGATGTGGCTCAAGCAGTAGCGCGCTCCCCTGGCATGCGTGCGGCCCGGGTTCGATCCTCAGCACCACATACAATCAAAGATGTTGTGTCCACCGAAAACTAAAAAATGAATATTAAAAAATTCTCTTTTAAAAAAAATATGAACAGATAGATAGACATATAGATTTACATAGGTATCCAGGAAAATTAAAAAAAATAAAATCAGAAAAGCCTACATTATCTGTGTATCGTGGTGCATCCTTTAATCCCAGCCACTCAGGAAGCTAAGGCAGGAGAAGCTTAAGTTCAAAGCCAGCCTCAGCCAAATTATTGAGACACTGACTCAAAATAAAAAGACATGGGGATATGGCTGAGTGTGAAGTGCCCCTGCGTCCCTGGGTTCAATCCCCAGTATTAACCCCTCCCCCCCAAAAAAAGGGAAGGGGGTGGGAATTGCAGGTGTGCAAAGGAACAAACCTGTGTTATATATACCTTTTCATATCTTAAAAGAAATTACTACTATGTATTTTCACATACATATGAATGGCTGTAGGTGGCATCTATGAATATTGACTCCAAAGCATTAAAAAGGCTGGACAATTGCCTGGCAAAGGAAAAAAGACCTTACTCACTTGAGTACCAGTTTATAATAGGTATCTAATACTTTTGTAATAAAAAATTAACTTTTAATACTAAAGAACTGGTTTTTAAAAATTCTAAAAATATGCATCATTATTTTCAAATCCTACTTCAAGTTTATATATACAAAAATTGAGCTACTGCCAAACAACCACATACAAAAATCTACAGTAAGAATACTCACCCTCTGGACTGGGGACATGAGTGCTTCCTCACTCAAAATGCACAAGGTCCTAGATTCAGTCCCCAGCACCGCAAAAACAAACAAACAAACAAACAAAACAAAACAAAAAAACTCACCCTTTAACTGTTCTAGTAAAGACTTAAGACTATTCTCTATTCGCTCCTGTATCTCCACTGTATCTTCTGAAATTGAAAGATAAAAATTAAAAACTTTCATTTTCTTATTAACATAAAAAGCATAGTCAATACCTGTAAACAACACACAGTAAGAATTATTTTTTTCCTCTTAAGAACTTACGAATCTAAGGCTGATGATATAGCTCAGTTGGTAGAGTGCTTGCCTTGAACATACAAAGCCCTGGTTTCAAACCCCAGCACCCCCACCAATAAATAAATAAATAAATTAAAATTAAAAAAAAAAAAAAAAAAAGAAGAAGAAGAAGAAGAGAAGCGGGAGCCCATGGGAAAATTGAAGTAACTTTGATTGGGCAAGGACGGGGGAGAGGAGGATAGCGGAGAAGTATAGGGGCAGGAAAGATGGTGGAATATGATGGACATTATTACTCTAGGTACATGTATGACTGCACATATGATGCGATGCTACATCCTGTACAATCAGAGAAATAAAAAGTTGTGCTGCAATTGTGTACAAAGAATCAAACTGCATTCTGCTGTCATATGTACATAATTAAAACAGACAAATTTAAAAGGGCAGGGGAGCATTTAATCACCTTTCCACCATAGGTACTACCTGAAATTCTCTTTGAGGACTTGAAACCTGCCCCGAGTGCTTAAAAATTCTTGTAAATGATAGAATCTATAAACTTTATGATTTTGAAAAAGAGAAATATTTGTGATTCTCATTGGGTTGAAAGCTTGGGAATTTATCCACAAAACTTGGAACTTAATTTTTAAATCCAATTCAATCTAAAGCTAGGTACGGTAGTGCATGCCTGTAATCCCAGTGGCTCAGGAGGCTGAGGCAGGAAGACTGTTGAGTTCAAAGCTAGCCTTAGCAGCATAGTGAGAACCCAAGCAACTCAGCGAGACCCTGTATCAAAATAAAATACTTTTGGTGCTGGGGATGTGTGTTTCAGTAGTTAAGCACCTCTGGGTTCAATCCCCAGTATCCAAAAAAAAAAAAAAAAATCTAAAATTCAATAATCTTTCAATAAGTCAACTGTTGGACGTAACAAGTCCCTTTAAATATGGGGAAAAAAATCAGGATTCTAAAACATTACTTTGAAATCTGTGAATGTGCCCTCTTGAACACTAAACCAGACATTGCCAGAGCAGCTTCCAGCTTTCATCTACTCCATATTGCTAAGTATCTGAGGTTATAGATGTTTCATTGCATTTACTAAGTTTACAATGACAAAAACCCAGGAAATTCACATGCAAGAAAATATTTACTTACCTAAACCATTGGTATCCAGCTCATAAATATCATTAACAAGATAAAAAGAACTTATCTGGCATTGAGAACAGCCAGAGTTAAAGAATCCACCCATTCTGGTAGGTACAGGACCAAGGAAAGGATACTGGAAAGAGGAAAAATAATATCCTTTAATAAATTCAAAAGAAGAAAATAAAGCTTTGTTAACTACTGGATAAAACTTATTTTGGGGCTAGGGATATAGCTCAGTTGGTAGAGCGCTTGCCTTGCATTCACAAGGCCCTGGGTTCAATCCCCAGCACCACAATTTAAAAAAAGAAAAGAAAAACAAGGGCTGGGGATATGGCTTAAGTGGTAGTGTGCTTGCCTAGCATGCATGAGGTTCAATTTTCAGCACCACAATTGTGTCCACCTAAAACTAATAAATAAATAAATATTTCGGTGATTTAATGAAAAACCATCAATCAACAAACTACTTTGTAAGCATTATAGTAAAAATAGAAATGCCATATGAATTTGTTGATAGCTATTAGAAATTTATCATCACCCACACAAAAAATTATTATGCTTTTCTTCATTATCCAGCCTGGGTATTGGGAAAGCCTCTGCAATTTCTTTTCCATCTATAATATTCCTCTTTTTACTCCAGATGCCATAAATTGGGGGGGGGGGATTCTATACTATTTGGTCAACCCCAAAGTCCTAATTAAATGACAATCATAAATATAATCATTGAAGCTTTAATGACAAATTAAATATATGATACCTGAATTTCCTTTTCAATAAATCGCTTTCCTGTCTCCACGGCCACCTCTAGCTGTTGAAGGAGCAAACGAAGAATATCAATGGGAGAGGATACACCATTCTCCGAAGTCTTCTCAGAGTTCTTTGGCTCCACAGGGTGGTTAAGACTTGGAAGGCCACTGATCAGCCTCAATGTTAAGGAACGTATTCTTAGCCACATGGTCTCCTCCTCCAAGGAAAGTTTCTTATGTTCTTCAGAAACATCCCTTAAACAAAAACATCCTCAGACCATCCATTTTATTCAATCTGTTGCCTTCAAAGCTTTCAACATTCACTTTTACCAGTCAAGATACTGCTGAATGGTTCCAATTTTCACTTAGTATTTGGATGATCTTAAAGCCAAAAATCTTCTGAATCCCCATTTCACTATCAATAAAATGGGCATGGTAACTTTCCTAACTTAATTTCCCCAGGACTTTTTTCTCTGATAATTAAAGTACTACATGATACAAAAAGTTTGACAGCTGGAGGTGATGGCACACACCTGTAATCCCAGCAGCTCTGGCAGCTGAGGCAAGAGGATCCCAAGTTTGAGGCCAGCCTCAGCAGTGTAGCAAGGCCCTAAGCAACTCAGGGAGACCCTATCTCAAAATAAAAAATAAAACGGGCTGGGGATGTGGCTCAGCAGTTAAGCACCACTGGGTTCAATCCCCAGTTGCCCACCCCACCCCCGCCCGCCAATTCAAATGACAGAAAAGTAAAAATTGGGAAGGAAAAGTGCCCTGATAACCAAATACCCAGAGTATTAACAAGTTTGGTATATATCCATTCAGACTTTTGCAATACAGATGTATAAAAATGTAACTGAAGTACATTTTTATACATCTGTATTGCAAAAGTGAATTTCAATGGTAGAATGCATTGAAATGTAAGTAATGCAAGCTTGTTACATTCTAAAAATTTATGGTAAATAAATCGTAAATTTGTTTGTGTGTGATGTACACACACGTTTTATATATATTTATACATATATCTTGAGTGTGTGGTTAGCACATGGAAGGCCCAGCATTTAATTCCCAACAATATCGAAATATCTGTTTGCACTTAAAAATAATATTTATGTGGGCCAGGGCAGAGAACTTGCCTAGCATGTGTGAGGCACTAGGATTCATCCTTAGCACCACATAAAAATAAACAAATAAAATAAAGGTATGAAAAATACAACATTATAAAAAAATTAAAAGCAAAAAAATAAGAATGGCTTACTATATCCAGACTGTTTGTAGAAACCATATAGTTTTCAGTGAACAACTTGTTTCCTCTGAGAATCTAGGATTTTGGTACATGCTGGACAAAGAGTTCATGGACACATGAACCAGCGGATAAAAATGGTAGGCATAGAAACACAGCACATGTTACAGCATTTTTCCCTGCTGAAGAAAGAGTGCACTCATTGTGTTCCTTCATAAAAGAGAACACAGTGGTGGTTGGGGCTGTGGCTCAGTGGTATTGCACTTGCCTGGCATGTGTGAGGCGCTGGGTTTGATTCTCAGCACCACATATAAATAAATATAATTAAGGTCTGTCGATAACTAAAAAAAAAAATTTTTTAAAGAGAGAACACACAGTGGAAATCTGTGTATGGAAGTCTCCATACTCTGCCTACTCCTCTTTCCTTGCTGTTCCCATCATCTATTCTTTTGCTATAATAAACCTAAGCCCCTGTAATCATTCTAGCAAATCACCCAATGTGATTTTGGCAACCTATGAGTCATAGTATTTGCAAAACTATCTAATATATACACACTTGCAAGTTGTCCACTTACTTCCTTAAAGCTCAACTTCCCCAGAAGCAGATCTGCTTAGCAGACCATATGTGGCATTTCAAATCTTGTTATGTATCACCAGAATTCCCTACATGAAGGCTCTATAAAATTGTGCCACAACATAAATACATAATAACAAGCATCATTCCACATAACCACCAATCCTTTTTGTTAGAAATAAAATCTTAATCACTGAAAATGCATTTCTTTGAACTTCTTGTTACACCCTCCTACCCACACTGTTTCTTAGTTATCTTCTCTACTGATCTATTAAGAGTCCTCAGCCAGGTGTGGTGGTGCACCACTATAAACCCAATGACTCAGGAGTCTGAGGTAAAGAATCGAAAGTTCAAGGCCAATTTAGCAAAACTGTCATTTTTTTTTTTTTAATTTAAGAAGGACGTGGATATGCATCAGTGGTAGAATACCCCAGAGTTCAATTACTGAAGAAGGGTGGCAGGGGGTGAGCATGTATTTTTCTCTATACAGATCAGGGGTATTAACATAAATGAAAAAATCAGGGCCTAAGGACATAGCTCAGTGGTACAGCACTTGCCTAGCGCATGTAAGACTCCAGGTTTCATCGTCAGTACTAAAAAAAAGGTATATGTATAAATATATATAACGTGTGTGTACATCACACACAAACAAATTTACCCATTTATTTACCATAAATTTTTAGAATGTAACAAGCTTGCCATTTTTACTTACATAAGTTAAATCCTTTATGTTTACATTTCCACCGTTTATATGTTAAGAAAGGTTTTTCCTACCCACTTAAAAATATTTTCTATCTTCTAGAATTTCTAATGAGTTCTGGCATATAATCTTTAATCCATTTAAAATTCATTCTCATATATGCTATGAAGTAGCAAACGGGTGAGACGTATTTTCTTCTTCTGGCTTAACTATATTTTCTTATCCCAACAACAAACATATTATTTTATATTTGTGTAAAAGAGGAGATTTTTCTAAACAACTATCAGATTAAACCTAATTCTTCCCACCCATCCAGTGCTAGGGATTGAACCCAGGGCCTCACACATGTTAGGCAAATACGCTACTACTGAGATGCATGTCCAGCCCTGTTTATTTTGAGATATGGTCTCTTGAAATTGCCCAGTATGACCTTAAACTTGCGATCCTTCTGCCTCAGCCTCCTAAATAACTATAGGCTACAGGCAAGCACCACCATACCCAACTGGATTCATCCTAATCCTTTAGAAATAAATGGCTTGGCCAGGAGTGGTGGTTCACTCCTGTAATTCCATCAGCTCGGGAGGATGAGTCAGAAAGATCATAAGTTCAAATGCAGCCTCAGCAAAAAACTGAGGTAGCTCAACAACTCAGTGAGACCCTGTTTCTAAATAAAATAGAAAAAAGGGCTGGGTGTGGCTCAGTGGTCAAGTGCCCCTGAGTTCAATCCCAGGTACCAAAAACGAAAGAGAGAGAGAGAAATGGCTTGGAGTTAAATTTCAGTTACCTGTCTTTTGGATCCCAGCTGAAGAAAACATTTAAATCTCTGTTATCTCGCAAATCTTCCCATGGAATGTCATCTTCTTCTGGCCTAAGATTCATTGACTTTATACTTTCTGCTAGGCTGGTTGATCTGCGATATATAGAATTTATTTCAATAGGAAAATAGTCATGAAAATGTTTTCAAATTGTTTTACAAGAAAGAAAGGAAGAAAAAATTATTCTAAGAAATAAGGGTTCATATAAGGTGATAGACAACCAAGTAAAAAATCATGCCGACTTACTCCATGACAAGAGAAGGTCAAACAAAGTAATGAATCAGCACTAACTCCTGAAATCCCATTTGTAGTACAAAGGGAAACTTGTAAGCATAATATGGATCAAGAGAATGAGCATGTATAAAATGACTCCTGCAGAGGATCTGAGATGGTGCTGGCAATTCTCTATAATTCTTTTTTATTTATGGGGGGGTGGGGGTGGTGCCAGGGATTGAACTCAGGTGCACTCAACCACTATGCCACATCCTCAGTCCTATTTTGTATTTTATTTAGAGACAGGGCCTTGCTAAGTTGCTGAGGCTGGCTTTGAACTCACGATCCTTCTACCTCATTCTCCCAAGCTTCTGGGTTACAGTTGTGTGCCACTGCGGCTCTACCATTCTTTATGTCAGGCCAAAGTTCTGTTTTCTCTGTTCCCACCCCTTTTCTTTCATTCCCCCTGTTTTTTCCTTATCCTAAGCCTGGTAATGACACCATGAGTGCATTAATGGCTTTTAGAATCTGATTTAATCCCTTCATTTGGGTTTTTTTTTTTTCCTTTTTTGTAATACTTACATATTTGCTTCAAGTAGAAGGTCCAACAGCATCCGTTCAGTACGGACTTGTGCAAAATGAAGAGAATTATTCAGCCTGTTCCTAAAAGCGATAAACTCTGGGATCTTCTCAAATGCACCATATTTGTAAGCTTGAATAATATATTCTGAGGTCTGGGAAGGAAAGACATCATCTTGGTATAAATATTTCACAGGTCAGACACTGTAAGCAAACCGTGCCAGCCAAAACAAAATATTCAAGCTAAAATTAAGAAAAGCTTTGAATCCAATCTTTAAAAGTTTCTATTATCAAGTACAGAATATCAGTTCTTTATAATGTTACTTTTCTTCCTTTCTGAACCAGAGTCAAATGTGTTCTTTACTAATATTACTATTCACAACGCCCAACTGCCACTACCACCCCACAGACCTTCTCTGTCAGTCATATCTCTCAATGCAATAGGACTGGAGGTTTTGTGAGGCCACATCAATCAAAAATTTGCTTAGTGCCATTCTGGAAGGGATATTACTCCATGTTTTTCTGCTTCCAAGACCAGCTGTTTTATATAAAGGTTCCGAAGATGCCAGAATAATGGAACCACCTCCACGTATCCAAAAAGGTTACTCCTTGGTTTTGTTTCTTTCTGCATAATGTACCACACACATAGGACATATATGTATTACACCAGAATAGAAAAAAGACACCAAAGACTCATAAAAGTTAATGTTATAATCAATTCTGAGGACAGAACAACTTCAAGAACAAGTTTGTCCATCTGAACTACCTAAGACCTCTTCTAGAAACTTCCATAGACAAGTGAAGGAAACATTTAGTACGTGTTTTAACTGTAGATTAAAGCATATATATAGATGAAATGTTTACAAAACAGAGGCAAGATAAAGAATTCTAAACGGAAATCCTGGCATAATAGAAGAAAATCTCAGGCAAGAACATTTCAGAAGTGTAGGCCTATGCCAATAGGAATGAAGAACAGAAGATCAAACCTTAGGGTCAAGGAAAGCATTAAGCTCAAAGCTGATGTGTGTCCAAATAAAGATTCTTCCTAGAAAAGTCAGTCTTTTTACACAAAACTCAGTTAGTCAGCTCTGCCCCCATCTCTATTATGACTGAGAAATTTGCCCAGTAGGAAAATAGGCCAATAGTCAACAACATACCCTCTGATACACAGCCTCGCAGGGTTCATTTCAGGCCGCGGGATTGCGCCACGGGCGCTAATTCAACTGCATTCGATGCGGCTTTTAAACCCCCATGGGACACCTCGGCGAGCTGTTTGCCTGCAGTATCTGGAGAAATTAAAGACGGACGGACACAAGAAAATTAAAAAGATTACTTGTGATCCTGCAGGTTTAAAGAAGGACTATCCAAAAAAGCTTGAGTGTACCTTTTAGCTTGATTAAGGACAGTGATATGCCCCATCAAGAAGAGGCCAGGACACTAATCACATATGCCTATCCTATGGCACTTTGGCTGAGAAAACACATCAAGGTTTACTATCAGCCCTTGCGATAGGAACTTACAGCTTAAAAAAATGGAAACATATAATTTAGTAAGTTATTAGGATAGATATATGACTTCGGTAATTCCAAACAACTTTATAAATTCCAGTTCTAAAATATGCTATAATTAAGGCAGAGAACTTACTGAGTAGTCCATGGAATAGCACTTTAAGAAAAAAACTTTCAAAAAAGCAGCGAGAAAGAAATAGTCTTCAACAAACCAAGAAGGTGGGCACAGTTACAGTCCTCCTCAAACATCACAGTGAAGCACCAGTGCAAGGCTAGATCTGGGCCAGGGCACAACCAATAACCTTTGAGAGACAACAGGGAAAACTGGAGGCCACAGGCACTTCAAGACTTTTGAATGGTGTATGTCATCTGTACCTATTTCTACTAGCTTATGTACAAATGGGTATATTTAGATCCCATATGGATGCCTGAAATGAACCCTGGTCACTGTAAAAACTAGCAAATTAGGACATTAGACCTGAAACTTACAATCATCATTACCTAAGATAGACATCTTAAAGTAAGATTTTTAAAGTAGTACAAACATTTAAAGAATGTTAGGAGATAGGAAAATCTAGCACTGATTTTCATATTGTAAAAAGAATCTATTCCAAAGTAAGATGACAGTAGCCAAACGACATATCTAAAAAGAAAATCCTTGTGCAGACCTTCCAAATTCAACTTTCAGTCCCACAGCACAAAACCTTCCTGAGAACCCGGGATTTCCCATTCAAGGAATAAGTGTTCTTTCAAAGAAATAGTTGGGAAGTAAAACATCAGTCACCCCCCAAAAAAGGCATTTGGGGATCCCCAAAACTATCAAGAATAAAAGCTGTTGAGCATGGATCTTTGGCTCTGAAGTGAAACATTTCTAATTCTATGAGAAGGTTTAACGCACGCAGTGTGACACTACAATCACAGGCAGCCTTAGATTCTTTTAGGAGACGCTACTGTTCCCTTGTTTGGTGATAGGGCATCAAGACAGAGGCACATTTTTCTTGTGTACTGAGCTTCCCTTTTTTCTCCAGGATCCCTTAAGATCGCTACTTGAATATTATGATACATTAGCTCCATTACAAACTGACAAAGTGTCCCAGTCCCAGATCAATTAGTCACTCCTACACACAACCATCAAAAAAAGACCAAGCATCAAAAAAGACACTAAAAACACTGAGGAGACGACACCCCTCAAACTGCTCCTGGGAACATTATTTCCCTTTATTACAATACTGTACATTTTTATTTTGGGGTTGTTTTTTTCCCCAGAAGCAATTCTTCACACACAATGGTTAGAAAAAACTAAAGCCTAATTTCTATCAGTATAAAATAGTGTGCCTTTCTTTATTGTCCAAATCTTTATGAATAATGATTCTTCAAGAATGCACAGTTGATTAAAACAATAGAAAAACCAGATATTGGGCTTTAAGGATTCCCTTATTTCTTCCCACTACCTTAAAGCTAGTTGAGAAACAAAATTTTGAAAAGAATTCTTTAGTAAATCAGGTGTCGTTATCCTTCTCCTGGTAAATAAATTACAGCTACAATAATGATCAATTTGAGGAAATAATTTCAGTTGATTTTGAGTTAATGAAATCCCTTAAAAACAGAGAAGAGCAAGCAGATATACGTGAATACACAGTGAAAACTCACTCTTGACGATTTAAAAGCCTAGGGCCCTAGAGATGCTCTTTCAACCTCTAAGCCTGGCCAGCACACTCGAAGTAATGTGTTCAGTTGCTGAAAGCCATTTCCCTCTCTTCCTGATCAGAAGCTATGTCACAAAATAAGGTCTGAATAGCAATGTCAATCACAGGACAAAGACAGGCTAAAAAAGCCAATTAATATGGTGCACAGTTCAACAGCTAAGCAGAGAACCCTCCATCCACATTCTCAGAACTGTCCTTTGCTATTACAGCCCTCTAGGCCATGCCATAACCTTGTTAGAACATATTACCAGACGCTAAGAACAACAAACCTATATTCCAATTGTTCAGACATGTTTCTGTCCTGCTTCCTATTTAATATATCCTTGAAGAATTATATGGAAAATACATTAACATTTACCAAACAGATTTGTTTGTTTTAAATCCTTAAGAGTGTTTGCCAAGAAGAACCCCAGGTTACAATTTCCTTGTCAGGTTCCTTAGTTGCTGATAGACCATAACAGTAAAGCTTGGGGCAGGTATCTGCCCAGCTAGGTTCTAGGCAATGAGTCTGCAAATCATGTGAGAACCAAGTAAGTAGTGACCACCCTAACAACAACTTTCTCTTTCCATATTTCTCTTAGGTAGTTTTGCAAGATTGATCAACTGAGTAGTGACCATATGGTTTTTCCACATAAAATTCTGCTTCAACAAGTGGAGCCCCAATCCGTTTGCAGTGAAAAATATGGTGCAAATCCCATCCTTTAGTTATGGCACATTTATGGCTACTGAAAAAACATACAATTGACCTAAGTTTCTTGAAATGTTCTTCAACTGGTCAATAAATAAAAATAAAATTTATTTATTTATTCAGAAATAAAGGTGGCAGAGCTAAGGTTGTGGCTCAGTGGTAGAGCACTTGCCTAGCATGTGTGGGGCACTGGGTTTGTTTCTCAGCACCACATATAAATGAATAAAATAAAGGTTTATCAACATCTAAAAATAAATATTAAAGAAAGAAAGAAAGGTGGCAGAGTGGTTTTTGTGTGTGTGTGTGATGCTGGGGATTGAACCCAGGGCCTTGTGCATGCAAAGCAAGTACTCTACAAACTGAGCTATATCCCTAACCCCATCATAGATTCTTACATGGCACTGCAGGCTATAAATTCTTATGGGCTATTTCTTACTTCCTTAGAAAGTTCTTAGATATCCAAAGACAGTTCTAAGAGGTATAACACTTCTTAGTCTATTAAAACCCAGTGTTAAATGCCAACTTTCCAAGGATCCTATTAAACACACCCACATTCCAATAAACATAAACAGCTCTATCTCAAGCTAAGAGCCTTGAACAGTAAGCTACAGTATATGAGCATTTGCCAGTAGAGCATGGTGCTCCTTAACATGGCACTTGTGACTCAATCGTGTACAGTCAGTAGTCAAGACCATAAAGAAAAAAGGAAAAGGCTTTTCACTTACATCTTTCTGGTTGGAGTGGAAAAACCTGAGTGCGAAATTACAGGATTGGGATGCAGCAGCATACTGACCTAGAGATTCGGCGTATCGAGTCAAAAGATAACTAGGTTGGAAGAAAAGAAGAAAAAAATACATGTTATACTTACCCACCTCTAGTATCAGATGCTATATCTCAAATTACTATGCCAAAGAAATAGTAAAGCATAAGGAAAAATTAAAAATCCTGCCATTTAAAATAGCCTAATCAATAAAGAATAAAGTTCATTCAGTTTTTTTAGGAGGATAAAAGTTCTACGTCATGCTTTCTTTAGACTCTGGCAATGAAACATAAAAGGTGTAATAATGCACATAATGCAGTCTTCCTAAAACAGCACCAGAGGAGATTAAAAAAATGCCCTTATGTAATCACAAAGAATAGCCAAAACATATGGGCTGGGGATGTGGCTCAAGCGGTGGCACGATCGCCTGGCATACGTGTGGCCCGGGCTTGATCCTCAGCACCGCATACAGGCAGGGATGTTGTGTCCGCCGAAAAACTAAAAAAATAAATATTAAAAAATTCATTCTCTCTCTCTTGAAAAAAAAAATTAAAAAAAAAAAAAAAAAGAATAGCCAAAACACAAATTCAAAAGGATGTCTCAGATCAACAAATAAAGTACACATGAAGAAAAGACTTCAAAACAATGTGTGCTAAGAATAAAGGTTCAAAATATACAGCTGGTTGGCTGGAAGTATGGCTCAGTGGTAAAACATGTGCTTAGTACGTTTGAAGTTCCAGGCTCAATCCCTAGAACTACGGAAATCAAGAAAATAAAAAGATAGCCGGGCGAGGGAGGCTGATCGTGAGTTCAAAGCCAGCCTCAGCAACTTAGCTAGGCCTTAAGCAACTCACTGAGACCGTATCTCTAAATAAAATACAAAACAGGGCCGGGGATGTGGCTCAGTGGTTGATTGCCCTCGAGTTCAATCCCCAGTACCTCACCCCCACCCCCATCCCCCCAAAAAGAGAAAGAACAGTAAATACAAATTTAAAAAATAAATTAAAATTTTTTTTAAAAAAGGAAAAGTACATAGCTGGTTGCAGTATCTGGGGAAAACTTTCTTCTTGACATTTAAAAACTGCCAATTTTAAAAATTACTAAGCCATATATAAACTCATTATGTTTGCAATGGGTCATAATAAATGTTTACTTAACATCACAAACGAATGTATTGCAAAAGACTAGAAATGAGAGTCCCATGCCTCACCCTGTTATAGCTGGCTACTCATTATTCAGAGTATATACTACCAACCCAATGGTGTCGTGCTGGATATGCTTTGCATCGAGACTGGAGTAAAGATCCACCACCGGTTCAAATGCACCCAGCATACAGTAGATTCGAACAAGCAGCAATTTGAATTGGGCATTGGAAGGGCTATGGGTTAACCCTTCTTCCAGCAAAGTCAGGGCCTGCCACACAGCAGTCTCATCACCTAAAATCAAAAAAGAGCATTGTCCACTGATCTTGACAGTAATAAGACTTCTCAAAAAGAAACAAACCTACTGACATCATCACCTCCTCTAATCATTCTGTAAGTGAAGGCAGAGAATAAATTTTACGTACATACCTATAAGCAAAATAGGGAATTCTCTAAATTGTCCCTCAATAGTTATGCCAGTTCTTAAACACTCTCTCTGGAAAAATGGAACAGAGTTTAAGTGGCCAGATCTTGTGGATGGAAGTTATGGAATCACACAGAATTTCAGATTCTGGGAAGAGATGGACTTTGAAGAACTGGAGTCCACCTGCCTTCCCATTACAGGATTTGCTCTACAAGAATCCAGAGAGAGATTCTTCACAGACACAATTTTACTCATATGTAACTCTCTTAAGAGGTTGTCCTATATGAAGCTTGAAAAAACTTCTCATTAATAATCAGCTGGGTATAGTGGCACATGCCTGCAATCCCAATTACTTGGGAGGCTGAGCCAGGAAGATTTTAAGTTTGAGGCCAGCTTTAGCAACTTACCAAGAACATGTCTTAATATAGAAATAAAAAGGGTTGAGAGGTTGGGGTTGTGGCTTAGTTGTAGAGCACTTGCCTATCAAGTGTGAGGCACTGGGTTCAAGCCTCAGCATCACATAAAAAAATGAACAAATAAAATTAAAAGGTATTGTATCCATCTACAACTAAAAATATTTTAAAGTGGGGGGGGGGGCTGGAAATGTAGCTCAGTGATAGAGCACCAACAGGTTCAATACCCAGTACCATGGGGGAAATCAAACTAAAATGCCACATTTTTTTTAGCCTACCAAATTTCAAAAGTATCTATAGTCTTAGGTTAAGTAATGTGAATGGATAAAGAAACTGTGGTATATATACACAATGGTATATTAGTCAGCCTTAAAGAATAAAATTATGGCATTTGCCGGTATATGGACGAACTGGAGAATATCATGCTAAACAAAATAAGCCAATCCCAAAGAACCAAAGGCCAAATGTTTTTTCTGATATTCAGAATCTAATTCACAATGGGGGGAGGGGAACAGAGGTACTTTGGATTAGACAGAGGGGAGTGAAGAGAACGGGAATGGGTATAGAGGTAGAAATGACAGTAGAATGAATCGGATATTATTACCCTATGTGCACATGATTATAGACCGCTGTAACTCTTCATCATTTACAACCACAAGATTGAGAAGTTATACTCCCATCTATATATGTTTCAAAATGCATTCTATTGTCATGTATAACTAATTAGAACAAATTAAAAAAATTTAATTTGCCAAAGTGGGCAATAAAACAAAAATAAAATTTGTCTTTAGAATCTATTTAAAGAAGGTACTAAGAAACACAGACAAAACTGTGTGCAAAAATATTCATTATTACAATAACATCCACACATGGAAACATCATAGAACCATGTGCCACAAAGTTTTTAATTATAATGTGCTTGTACAATAATGTTCAGTAAACATATGAACAGAAAAATGTAAGTTACTGTGAAGCAGTGACCTCAAACCTATAAAATATGAATAGAAAAAGTAAGAAAATATATAAAAATATATATTTCATATATATTGGGTTCTGGAGAAATGAAATTTTAAAGTGTTTTCCAAAATTTTATAAGCTACTTTTTTTGGGGGGAGGGGTATTATCAGATATTGAACTCAGGGGCACTCGACCACTGAGCCACATCCCCAGTCCTATTTTGTATTTTGCTTAGAGACAGGGTATCACTGAGTTGCTTAGTGCCTCACTAAATTGCTGAGACTGGTTTTGGACTCACAATCCTCCTGCTTTAGCCTCCCGAGCAGCTGGGATTACAAGTGTGTGCCACTGCGCCCAGCTTAAGCTACTTTTATACTCCGTAAAAACAGCTAAAACCTCCATGCATTAAAAAATATTTTAAGGTTATTCTATATGCTTTTGTTTCCCCAAAAGAAATAAAAAATTGAAGCCTTTAGAAAAATATCAATGACAATCCAACCCACACTATGAAAACTACCTATAATCTACCCAATTTTTTTATTAGCTACACATGATCTTTTTTTTTTTTAATTTTTTATTGTGGGTTGTTCAAAACATTACAAATTTCTTGACATATCATATTCCACACTTTGATTCAAGTGGGTTATGAACTCCCACCTTCACCCCATACACAGATTGCAGAATCACATCAGTTACACATCCATTGATTTACAAATTGCCATACTAGTGTCTGTTGTGCTCCGCTGCCTTTCCCATCCTCCACCCTCCCCCCTCCCCACCTCTCCCTCCCCTCCCACCTCTCCCTCCCTCCCTCCTCTCTCTCTACCCCCTCCACTGTATAACCCTGAGGGTCTCCTTCCATTACCATGCAATTTCCCTTCTCTCTCCCTTTCCCTCCCACCTCTCATCCCTGTTTAATGTTAATCTTCTTCGCCTGCTCTTCGTCCCTACTCTAATCTTAGTTACTCTCCTTATATCAAAGAATACATTTGGCATTTGTTTTTTAGGGATTGGCTAGCTTCACTTAGCATAATCTGCGCTAATGCCATCCATTTCCCTGTAAATTCTATGATTTTGTCATTTTTTAATGCAGAGTAATACTCCATTGTGTATAAATGCCACATTTTTTTTATCCATTCGTCTATTGAAGGGCATCTAGGTTGGTTCCACAGTCTTGCTATTGTGAACTGTGCTGCTATGAACATCGATGTTATTAGCTACACATGATCTTGACAACCATTTTTTTTAATGTATTTCTTCTGAACTATAATAACTTTTATCCAAGGCTAGCCACAAACTTTTGATCCTCCTGCCTTAACTACTATGCTGAAGAAAAAAAAATATTTTGCAAAAATATAAAGCATTCTTATTAATCCTTTCACATTCAAATCAATCTCTTTCAAAACCCTCAGTAATTATTCAACAACTTCTAATTTCTACTAGATCTGTGGTGTTCGGGCATAGCTCAGTAGTAGCATGCTTGCCTGATATGCACAAGGCCCTGAGTTCAATCCCCAAGGCTGCAAAAAAAAAAGTAAATAAAATAATGACTATGCCTGATTAGAGCACTTCAATATCCCTCTCATTGAGTTCAAAAAATTCTGCATCCTTACAAGATCTGCAATTTCATTTTGCAGTTTCTGTTGTGGTTTTAATAAACTCCTGTGTGAATGCAGGAATATTCAGAGGTGAGGTGATTGGTTTGTGATAGCTGTAACCTGATTATGGGGCATAGCTGGAGAAAGTGCATCACTGGAGGCATACCCTGGAAGGATTCATGTTCTCTGTGGCCCCTCCCACAATGCTTCCTAGATGCTATGAGAGCAATTTCCTTCTGTTAGGATGTTTTGCCTCCCTTGGACCCAAAACAATGGAGTTGGCCTACCATGAACTGAACCTCTGGAACTGTGAGCCAAAATAAACTTTTCCTTAAGTTGTTCTTATTATTCTTTTTTTTCTTTTTCTTTTTTGGTGGGGAGTGCCAGTGATTGAACCCAGGGGTGCTTAACTACTGAGCCACATCCCTAATTTTTTATTTTGAGACACAGTCTTCCTAAGTTGCTTAGAGCCTTGCTAAGTTGCTGAGGCTAGTTTTGAACTCCCGATCCTTCTGCATATCAGCCTACCAAGCTGCTGGGATTACAGGCATGCACCACCACACCTGGCTCTTAAGTTGCTCTTGTTGGGTATTATGATCACAGCAACAATAGGCTAACTAACACAGTTCACAATGTATTTGCACTGCAGGACTTTTTTTGCGGGGTGGGTACTGGGGATTGAACTCAGGGGCACTCAACCACTGAGCCACATCCCCAATCCTATTTTGTATTTTTTATTTAGAGACAGGGTTTCAATGTGTTGCTTAGCGCCTTGCTTTTTGCTGAGGCTGGCTTTGAACTCGCAATCATCCTGTCTCAGCCTCATGAGCCACAGGAATTACAGACGTGCACCACCGCGCCCAGCATTGCACTGTAGAAATTTGATCAATTTACTATCTTCTTTCTCTCTGTTCTACATTTCCCTCGTCTACAAAATTGTGACAATAACTATATTACTATAGGTTTAAATTTGATTCATGGGGGCTAGGGATGTATCACAAGTGGTAGCGTGCTCGCATAGCATGCATGAGGCACTGGGTTGGATTCTCAGCACCACATAAAAATAAAATAAAGCTATTGTATCCACCTAAAAAACAAAACAAAACAACAACAAACAAACAAATAAATTTGATTCATGGAAAGTACTTTCAAATATCTATCAACAAAAGTTTGCTGCTGCTATTATTATTATATGCCCAGATACCTTGCTCAAAATACAAGTGACTAGCAAAGCCATAGTCACTATGAGCAGCAATGGATGCAAGGGGTAAGTGGGGAAGGTTATTTGTATAGAAACCATATAACTAAGATGTCACTTCATTAGTGGTTTTTATATTAAGGTGACTTTGGAGTTCAATCCCCAGCACCAAAAAACAAAACAAAACAAACCACCAAGATGACTTTCGTAGCCCCAAGCAATTTCACAATGAATGGGTCTTCTTATGACAAGGAATCCCCCTCATCCATGGTACAACAGAGTATAGCAAGTATTATGATATAGTTAGATTTAATGTCTTACAGAATATTAGAAGAGACATAAAATCTGCAATGATATTAGACATAAAAATCAAGACAGGTGGGCTGGGTTGCGGTAGAGAGCTCGCCTAGCGCATGCGTGGCCCTGGGTTCAATCCTCAGCACCACAAAAAATAAATAAATAAAATAAAGGTATTGTGTCCAACTACAACTAAAAAATATATTTTTTTAAAAAAAAATCAAGACAGGCTTTTTGAAGCATCATTTGAGCATAAGTTAGATGAAGGAGGCAAAGAAGTTACTTCAACATGATGTTCAGGGATAGCAGTAAAAGATTTTTACAGGGGCTGGGGATGTGGCTCAAGCAGTATTGCGCTCGCCTGGCATGCATGCAGCCCAGGTTTGATCCTCAGCACCACATACAAAGATGTTGTGTCCGCCGAAAACTGAAAAATAAATATTGAAATTCTCTCTAATAAAAAAAAAAAAGATTTTTACAAATAGATTCAGGATTGTGAGTATCTAAGAATTTGGCTGACTTTTACCCTCATCATTTCAGGTTGCCTCTAAAGATTTTCGGAATGGGGATGGTAGCAAAATTGAATGACCTGTGGAATGATCCATGAGGGCTGGGGCATCTTGCTCACCACTATCTTCCCTAGCCCTTTCTATTTTCTGTACTTTAGTGTCATTAATAATATGCAATATACACCCAAAGATGTCCCCCCCCCAAAAAAAATGACTAAATAAGAGTAAATTTCAGGGGGTGTGACCTGAAGAAAAGGCAATCCTAATACCATCTTCAAAATAATCTTTCTCTTCCTCAGTGACTTTATATATGTGTGTATATATATATATATATATTTACTTATTCTTATTTTTAGTTGTTGATAGACCTTTATTTTTATTTATTTATATGTGGTGCTGAGAATCAAACCCAGTGCCTCACAAATGCCAGGCAAGTGCACTACCACTGAGCCACAGTCCCACAGTGATTTATAATGTTGCCTTTACCATGAATTCTATTTTTTGAATTCTTCAAAAAGGCCAATCAAAACTTATTCCAAAAAAAGCCCACAACATTTTCCTGTATATAAAAATTGTTTTTAAATCAGTTTCATTATATTTTAACTATTATAGCTTTCTAGTAATTTTTTAAAACATTTTTTAGTTGTCAATGGAACTTTATTGTATGTGGTGCTGAGAATTGAACCCAATCACACATGCTAGGCAAGTGCTCTTCCACTGAGCTACAACCTCAGCCCTATAGTAGATTTTTTACAGTTATTATTCATTATTCAGAAACATTTAGAAACAGAATGGATAGATATTCACTATTCAAGATTATCCTGACTACAGGGAATAGGATAAATTGGAAACTTGAGTTCTTCTAGAAGCATCCTGGAGAAGGGAAAGGAAGACCTAAAAGCATAAATCAAATTCATGGATTATATAATTATACTAAGGAAAGAATACATACTTCTAATTAATTTAACATAAAGTTGAACTGAAATCACTATGACTCACCTGTTTCTCTCCATATATCAATAAGCACATGAACAGCAAGGAGACAGTAATAGTCTGAAAACTGCAATTCTGTTTTCAAACAGGATTTCCCTACAAGAAAAGAAAATAATCACATCTTTTCAAACATCTGTTCAACTATTACTGCCCCAAGGGAGTTTTTTATAGCAGAAAAGTGACAGGGAGAGAAGAGAAAAAAGAAATGAAAATAAGAATAGGATAAGTACCCCACAAAATTAAATTAATTAATTAATTAAAAACACAAGTCATAAATCAAAGGGATCAAAAGAAAGTGAGACCACACTCAGTTGGGAGAGAAGGAAGGGCTCCAGCATAGAGAAGCTATCTATGATGATCCCACAAAAAAGATTGGGAAAGAGGTTTTTGGTGAAAAGCATAAACCAAGGGCCGTGTACAAAAAAAGTACCATTATATTCCTTACTTGGCCTAATATTTTTAATATAGAAATAGAGAAATAATGATATCTCCTAGTCAATTTATATCATACACATCTATGTATCCAGGCCACTCTGAAAAATCACCTACTTTAATTATCTTATAATTTATAATATAACTTTGATTTAATGACATAGTCTATGTATTAAAAATATTAAGGCATACGGGCAGAAAATAGACAATTATTGTAACTATGCAATTCATATAAGTCCCAACGTAAGAGAGTTAACTCATTAGGAGAATATGGACAACAGTAAGTCACCTATAATTATTTAAAACTCCAAGCTTAAGAAAATCTTTGTCACTTATCACTTGGTCTTCCTTCTTGAAAAAATATTCTCCTTAGAAAACTAATTAAAGCAGGGTACAACAGGTGCTTTAAAAACTGATTTCTAAGCCTTACCAAATCAGGGGACTACTGCACATTCTGAAAGGTTGCTTACCGAATTCCAGTCCATGTTGGTATCTTAGCATCAATTCCCTGACCACACTCAATTTCTGATTTTTATCCATGGTGTGGTACAAGCCAAGTAACCTCGTCAGCTGCACTACACACAAATGTTGTTGCAAAGCTCGGATGTCAGAAGGCAGTGCCAGCTTATCCTCTGTTGGTGTTGACAAAGGAACAACTCCGAGTAACTGATTAATAAACTGTGAGGTGGGGGAAAAGAGGACACAAGTCTCAAAACTCAACTAAACCTCAGTAGGCTGTAGTACAGAAATTGATATGGTCTATAAAAAGGCATCAATAAAAAAACTTTAAATTCCTTAGTATAATATTTCCATCTACCAAAAAATAAAAAAAGATTTGTGATAGGACACAATAATCATAGAACTGACACAATCATTCACTGATGGACAAAAGGATATTATCAATACCATGTACCACAAACAGTAAATATTAAAAAGATTATAACAATGTTTTATAAACTATAGAATTAACAAGATATATTATATCAATAAAAAGATTTAATTAGGGGTTGGGGATGTGGCTCAAGCAAGGCATGCCCGGGGCGCTGGGTTTGATCCTCAACACCACATAAAAATGAAAACTAAAATCCACAATTATATTGATTTACTCTTTTTTTTTTTTTTTGCTAATGAGGATTAAACCCAGGGGCTTGCACATGCTAGATAAGCACACTATCATTAAGCTACAACCCAGCCTTTTTTCTTCGATTGGTTTGGGGACAAAGTCTTGCAAAGTTGCCCAGGCAATCCTTCCTCCGTCTCCCAAGTAGCTGGTATTACACATGTGCACCTTGTCAGCTGGCTACAAATAAATTATGAAAGGAAAGGTTGTACACTGAAGGGATGGTTACCATTCTTTTAAGTTTTTAAATTTTAGATAATTATAGATCAACATTTAGTTTTTAGAAGTAACAAATCCCATGTAGCATTCACTCAATTTCTCCCAACAATAGCATCCTGCCTTAAACTATAATTCTTTAAATTTGGTAAGAATTAAAAAAACAAAAATCACACACCAGTTCCAGTTATATACTTATTAAAAACATGCTTATTGTCACTCACTTTTAAAATCCTACTAAGATGACAATAAGGAATAAAAAAGGATTAAGCTCACAAAGATTAAAAAAAATGTAACTACATCACAGGCAACCACAAGAATGGAAAGTTATACTCCATGTATGTATAATATGTCAAAATATATTCTGTCATGTATATCTAAAAAGAACAAATAAAAAAATTTAAAAAACATAAAAAATGTGAAGAGATGACAGTAAATTAAAACAAGATTTCAAAAGACAAAAAGCAGGCGGTAAGTAATAATTGATTTATAGGGCCGAGCAGGGTGAAAACTCAGTTTGCAGAGGGAAGAACACCAAAAAGCAGTATACTTATTCCATTTCCAGAACCTCAGAAAACTCAAGAAATTTTCAACCACAGAACCTTCAAGACTCAAGAATTAAGGGTACCAGGTGTCTCTGAAGACTAAGGTATTATCATGGGATAAAAACAGAATGTGCTAAATTGGTCTAAGAACTTGGTCCCCTCCCCAAGCTCACAGACCCACTTCCTGAGGATGAACAGAAGCTAAACCAGAGACACCGTAGACTTGGGCGGAGCTGGCAGAGCTAAAAATAGGGGATAATGTGAAAATTTCTTATTCAATGATGAAAGCCTCATCCCCTCCCCTACGTCTAAACTAAACTAATCCCAGAATACTTCAGTCAGAAGTATAAATCCCCTAACAGATGGTAGCAAAAAAGCCAGGGAAAGCATATCTAAGAGGCAGAGGTGGTGGCACACACCTTTCATCCTCTTAACTCTGTTGCTTACATCCATATCTAAATTATAAACATGTAGAAATTTGTTTATTTTCTTTAATATATTTTTTAGGTATAGAGGGACCCAACACAATGCCTTTATTTTTATGTGGTGCTGAGGACTGAACCCGGGTCCTGCCCATGCTAGGCGAGTGCTCTACCGCTGAGCCACAACCCCAGCCAGTAAATTTATTTTTAATTGGTATTTTCCTGTGGGATGTATGAAGGATTACCTTCTTTCTTATACAATTTCTTTCTTTTAGGGTTAATATTTTTTTTAGGTCCATTAACTCCAATCAGTATGGTTATACCATAATAGGGTAAATCTCCTCTTAGCATAGTCCATAACAAGAGGTTCCATTTAACCCCGATTCCTGCCTTATATTGGAGAGGGGAGAGGTTTCTGGGAATTGAACCCAGGAGCACGCTATCACTGAGCTACATCCCCAGCTCTATTTTGAGAGAGGGTCTCACTAAGTTGCTGAGGCTGGCCTCAAACTTGGAATCCTCCTGCCTCAGCCTCTGGATTGTTGTAATTACACGTTGTGTGCCACTGTGCCCACTTAGCATTACTGGTTTTCATGCTTTTGATTACATGGCTATATAGTTCCTATTGCCAGCTCTACCATTCTTCCAAGTCTTTTTTTTTTTTTGGTGGTGCTGGGAATTGAACCCAGGGCCTTGTGCATTCGAGATATATCCCCAGCCCCCTTGCAAGTCATTTTATATATTAATTGTAATTATTCTTTTAAAAAAATGATCCATGCTTTTTTATATATATATATATATATATATATATATATATACATATATATATATATATATATAGTTGTTGATGGATCTTATTTTACTCATTTATTCTATGAGGTGCTAAGAATTGAATCCAGTGTTACACATGCAAGGCAAACACTCTACCACTGAGGTAAAACCCAAGCCTTAGTTATGTTTTTTTTTGGTATTAGAGACTGAACACAGGGGCACTTGACCGCTGCGCCACATCCCCAGCCTTATTTTGTATTTTATATTTTACTTAGAGACAGCATGTCATTGAGTTGCTGAGCGCCTCGACACTGCTGAGGCTGGCTTTGAACTCGCAATTCTCCTGTCTCAGCCTCCAGAGCAGCTGGGATTACAGGCGCATGCTACTGTATGTTTATTTCTTAATGCCTTCCTTAGTGAATCTTTCAGATTTTATTATGAAATAAATATGCACATTTTTAGTCTATAAATTTTTTAAAAATATACTTTTAGTTGTTCTTGAACACAATATCTTTATTTATTTTTATGTGATGCTGAAGATCGAACCCAGGGCCTCATATACTGGGTATGAGGCAGGTGCTCTACCACTGAGCTACAGCCCCAGGCCCTAGTCTATAAATTTTTTGCTGTGCAAAAAACTCTTCAAAAACTAGAATAATTCTGTTTGATTCTAAAACATCAAGGCAAAGAAAACAAAATATTAAAATATCGTCCTGCATAAGCCACTTCAGAATTACTAGATTTGATGGTTCATTCTTACTGGCTAGTCATACTTGAAAGACCTGGTTCACAATCCATTCCAATAGCAGTTCTCAGCTTGAATACTATTGGGTAGTTTGAAATTCTCCAACAAACATACTTGCTGAGTGACAGAATTTTTAGCTAATGAAATCATCCTGCTAAAAAGTTAAAAAGCTGTGACAGCAAAATTAAAATTCATACAGAATAAGATTACAAAATAAGATTGAAACAGCTTAAATCCTTAGACTCAGAACAATGACCATCCTTATCACTGCTAGTATTCCAACAGGATTCCTGTGAGTAGATAAATCTTACCATATGGGGGTCACATGAGATGATCTAAGATTTTTTGAACAAAGCACTCAATGAATCCATTCTACATGGTTTAAGATTCTGCTTAAATCCTTCCAGAAACACAAAACTCACATACAGTACTTTTAAAGAATTCTGACTACTAAAAATATCATTTTCTTACTGAGCCAAACTCTGAATTCCCTGTTTTCTTCTCTCTTCTACAAGATAATTTGTAAGTCTGTGAATAGATCTACTACTCTGACATCACCAGATCAAACTTCTTTTCCAGGCAATCATTTTTCTTTCTCATGGGCTTTCAAATCCTCCTACAACCCAGAACCCTCTAGTTTGGATGTATTATAATTCATCCAGAAATTCCTGCGCTTGGTGTGAGCCCTTTAAGCACAGTATCCCAAGAACTGCTCTACTAAACAAACATAAATGGTGACAGCCATGTAAGAGCCCCATGGAGAGACCACTGGGACTCCTTGCCAGTTAGGGAATACACTACTCCATCTGCCTAAGATGTTTCACCTACAGAGCCCTGATGGACTCAAGATAGGGTCACAAAAAAATACTCTAGTCATCTCTAGACCTATGCTCCCGATGTGCATCATTCATTCCCCATAGAGACAATGGAAGATTTTCTGGGAGAACAGATGGTGGTGGCCCTAAGACGGGAAGACTTCTAACCTTTGACACAACCTTCGCTGAATTATTTTTGAGCAAAATAGATAGAAGTCACTGGCTTTCGTTATATATGCTATTATTTCTTTGAATGGTACTCTGTTCCACCTCAGGTACATAATTCTTCAGTGGGTAGAGTACTCCAACTGTCCAGGATACTTCAGGCTAAGCACTAAAATTCTTTAATGTGGAACAAGATATAAAGTTCCCATCAATGAGTGGGCAATTTGTCCCAAAACACATTGCTGTGTATGAGTACAAAACACACAGGCCCTCCACCAGATATAGAACTGATTCACATCAAAAATTCAATACATGCATGAGCCCTGATTTCACCCTCGAGCATCGCCAAACACTCAAGGCATGACAACTAAATATAATGTAGTGTCCTGCATCAAATGCTGGAACAGAAAAAGAGCATTATTGGAATAATGCCTTCCTTAGTGACTCTAGAGGCTATTTAATAGTAATATACCAACATCAGTTTCTAAATTGGGCAAATATAATTATTTAAAGTATTAACTTATTAAAATATTCACCAGCTTTAGAGGAAGCTGAGTATTCAATTACTCTGTACTATTTTGCAGCATTTCTATAAAACTAAAATCATTCTAAAATAAAGTTTTAAGTTATAAAAAAAAAATCCCTGACACTTCAGTTTCAGACTGCTTCAGCAGAATAAATCAAGGTTTAAAATAATCAGTGACTAACTATGGCACTTTTTAGCATGTCAGAGACAAGACATTAAAAGAAGAGCCCACTGCATTTCATAAAAATTAAAAATTTTTGTGTTGGAAAGGACTTTGTTAAGAGAATAAACTGCTAACCTACAGAATGGGAAAAAATATTTCATCTACAATGAAGAACTTGAATATAAAAAGAATTCCTAAAACTCATGAGTGAAAAGAAAATATTAAATAAATTAGAAAATGGGCAAAAGACACATTTCACTGAAGAGAGTCAGATGGTAAATAAATACAGGAACAATCATTATACACCTAATGTTTTCTCCCCGCCCCCCCTTTTTTTGGAGATGCTAGAGGTAAACCCGGACACACTAGGTAAGCACTCTACCACTGAGCAATATATTCCAGCCCTTTTACACCTACCACAATGACTAAATCAGTGACAACACAAAATGCTGGTGAGAATTCAGAGAAACTGAATCATTCACTTGTTAGTGAGAATTTAAAATGAAAAACAGTTTATGGCTGGGGATGTAGCTCAGTTGTCACATGCACAAGTCCCTGGGTTCAATCTCCAGCGAAGGAAGGGAGGGAGGGAGGGAGGGAGGGAGGAAGGAAGGAAGGAAGGAAGGAAGGAAGGAAGGAAGGAAGGAAGGAACAGTTCAACCATTTCAGGAAAAACTAAACAGGCAACTACCCTAAAATCCAGCAACTGCATGTCTGGGTAATTTTTCCAATAGAAACAAAGATTTGTGTTCACACAAAAAGCCTGTACCCAATGCTCATAGTAGTATTATTTATTATAGCTAGCACCTAAAAATACTTTCAACAGGTCATTAGTTAAGGAAGTTGTGGTGCATTCATACCATGCAATACTATTCAGCAACAAAAAGCTATGAACCACTGATACATGTAACAATGAGGATGATTCTCCACAGAATAATGCTAAGGGAAAAAAGCCACTCAAAGGGTTACACATAGCATGATTCCATTTATATACCATTCTTAAAATGACAAAATTATAGACTGAAAATTTATTAGTAGTTGCCTAGAGATAGAGAGAGGGGAAGAAAAGGTACAGGTAGGTGGCTATGGATTAAAAGAGGCAGTGTAGGTCTGAACATAATCCAAGTGACTCAGTAAACAGAGGCAGGAGGATCACAAGCGAAGCCGGGCTTGGCACTTGATAAATCACTCCTATTACACACATATGTACACACAAATAAATGCCTATAAAACTGGTAAAAATCTAAGAAAGCTCAATAGATTATATCAATGTCAATTTCCTAATTATATTACACTATAGTTATGCAATATGTTGCCACTGGGGCAAAATGAATGAAGCTACATGGGATCTTTCTGTTATTTCCTCAAATCCATGTAAATTTACAATTATCTCAAAATAAAATTATATTTTTTAAAAGAAGAATCCAGTCATTTGCCACAACTTTATTCCCACAAGGGCTTAGTTTGACAAGAAATCAAGTCTTCAGGCCAGCTACCCCAAAGACTGAAGCAGGAGGCAAATTCAAGACCAGCCTGGGCAACGTAGCAAGACTGGGACCCAAAATAAAATAAAAAGGTATGTATGCAGATGTACCTCAGTGGTAAAGTACTCCTGGGTTCAATCCCCAGTACCAGGTAAAAAAAAAAAGAGAGAGAAAGAAAAATTGAGCTTTCGGTATGATAGCACCTGGAGTACTTACCTTGCCAGGGCAGTTATAGTTCTCCTATTCATCAGTCATATTCATCAGTCCCACACATTACAGGAAACCCAAACAGTTATCTACTTTTAGTAAATAGAGGCACTTAACCGAATTCTGACACATACTTACCTTTGTACCCTGTGTAGCAGGCAAGAGGTCAACAAACACCTTCAGGTCTGTAAAACAACACGGTTTATCCCCAAACTTTTTAAAATACTGGAACATTAATTCTTCTGGGTCACCTAAGGGCAAGGAGGGGGGACATTACTATATTATTTCTAACTGAAGCAATTCCTAATTTAAGTGAGAGGTCTAATTTGGAAATATTTCAATTAAAGTGTTGCTTAATGCTTGAATGACAAGGAATGAAAATAAGAGAAGGCTGGATGCATATCGGTTTAAAGTTCCCTCTTACGTTTGAGTTTTCAGCTTCCCTGTTATTGTACCTAGGAAATATGAAGCTATCTTATTCAGTTAAAATTTACATAGCAAAAAGATTTACATTAAAACTCAAACAAAAAACATAAGATTATATGCAAATGTTAAAAACACAGCTTCTCTCCACAGTTAGAAAATTTAAACCTGAATTTAAGAGAACTACCAGTTCATTTTAATTTCCTTCCAAATAAAAGCAAAATAAAATGAAAATAGAAAAATAAAATGTTCCCAAACTGACATAAGATTTAAGAAACAAGAATTTTTTAAAAAAATATATTTTTTAGTTGTCAATGGAGCTTTATTTATTTATTTTTATGTGGTGCTGAGAATCAAATCCAGTGCCTCACTGATGCTAGGCAAGTGCTCTACCACTGAGCTACAACGCCAAACCCGAAACAAGGATTTTTAATAAAAGGTTTCTGTAAGATTGTATGTCTAAATTCTTTTTCCTATTCTTTGTTAAGAAATACCCATGCTTTAACCAGATTTTCAAAGAACTCTGTGACTCAAAAGAAACTAAGAATCATTCACTGGTCTGGCAAAAAAAATGTATGGCTACTAGACAAATTCACATTTGCAAGATGGGGGCTGATAAGACCCGGGGTAGATAAAGCAGGTATCAAGGCAGATTCAGACACTTTTAAATTCAGCTTTGCAAAGAAAATATGGGCACTTTCATTTGCAGATCTGGAAGTAGCATAGACTGAAATTACTGAAGTAAACCCAAAGAGAGAAGCCAAAGCTGAGGAGGAAGCTCATGTAGGGCATTTGCCTAGCATGTGGAAGGTACTGGGTTTGATCCTCACTGCAAAAAAAGAAAAAGGAAAAAAGAGGAAGAAAGAGAAATCAGCACGGAATTGAAAACTGGCTATGAATAAGCTACTACAGGAATGCTAGAAAAGTGCAGTTAATTTTAGAAAGTTCTGCCAAGGACATCGAATAATTAAAAAGGACAGAGATGTTCTAGAACAGATTTCAAATACTGGAGTGCTCATTATATCAGAACAACTGGGCTCCCCAAAAAAACCTCTTAACTTTTTTGTTGTTTTTTTTTTTAATATTTATTTTTTAATTATAGGTGGACACAGTATCTTTATTTTACTTTCATGTGGTGCTGAGGATCGAACCCAGTGCCTCACACATGCTAGGCGAGTGCTCTACTTCTGAGCCATAACCCTAGCCTTTAATTAACTTTTAACAAGGACAAAGCTTTGATATCAATAAATGGGGAAAAGTAGTTTCATCGGAGCTTTCTCCTTAAAAATGAAGCTGAGGGGGACTGGGATTGTGGCTCAGTGGCAGAGTGCTTGCCTTGCACGTGTGGGGTCCTGGGTTCAAACCTCAGCACCACATAAAAATAAATAAATACAGATATTGTGTCTGTGTATAACTAAAAAAAAAAAAAAAAAAAAAAAGAAGCTGAGAGCTGGGCTTGTAGTTTGGCAGTAGAGAGTTTGCCTAGCATGTGTGAGGCACAGGGCTTGATCCTTAGCACCATATGTAAACAAATAAATTAATTCATTAATAACAAAGAGATACAGTGTCCACCTATAATACACACACACACACACACACACACACAAAATGAAGCTGACCAATGGAGAGTTCATTATCTTAAATTTAGCAAAAGTTGGGCTGGGAATATAGCTCAGTTGGTAGACTGCTTGCCTAGCATACAAAGGCCCTGAGAACAATCCCCAGCACCACCAAAAAATAAAAAAAATTAAAAAATAAAAATTAAAAATTAGCAAAAATCAGGTTTTATTAAAACTGTAAGGTAATTTTCAGTATGAGAAGTAGCTGCTTTTGGCAGGGGGGTCATTTTTCCAACAAAATCATGAACTAGCACAATATAACATCTTACGTTTCTGATTCAAGGAGATGCTAAGAAACTAATTTATAAAACATTTAAGGGCTTCATCAAATTTCCTAAAGGCTTCTCTTAATGCTTTACTATTGGTATCAATCTCTTAATGCTTTACTACTGGTATCAATCTTTGCTCCCTTTATAAATTTAAACTTAAAAAAAAAAAAAGAAGAAATTTAAAATTTCTCTTTAGCTGCTAACTGCTCTAATTCTGTCCAGTAGTACTTTGTCATTAGTTTTGTGAGTGCTTGGAACAGATTTAAGAAAACTTTTCATCTACTTCACGAAATCCTAAAACTCTTACAAACCTGGCAATTGTTATTGGAACTGATTTAACTTCACTGTGTTAGCAACAGCTCTGATGGAACAGGAAAAAATGAAAACATTAGGCCAAATTGAATGAGTAACAGAGAAATAATTTTGTAAGTGATCCATTCATTAGTAAATATTCTCAGATAATAAAGATGTTTCCTTCCTCAACATGACTTTCTCAATATAGGCCTCAGATGATGAATACTGCACTCTAGTACTAAGGGTATCCCTGTATCTTCTCCAGGTTTCCCAAATATCATATTTTCTTACCTAGTTTATATTCATCATTACAACCTTGACTTCGTAAGCGCCTGATCAGCTCCAATTTAGCTAGATGTGGTCCGCGGAGATGGCGAGAACTTTTAGATTCTTCTGTTATCCGATCTTCTATAAACTTCACAGCCTCTTCCGCAGAATAATGTACTTCTCCTTCTAAAGAGCTAGATATAAACACATGAAAAAACATGTTATTGTCTCTACTATCCTTCCCCAAGTTAAAAGTCAAATTAAAATATTAAGAAAAAATTTTCAAACAAGAAACAACACCTTGATAATTATAAAACAATAAAAACGGTTAGTGTGGTGGCACACACCTGTAATCCCAGTAAATCTAATTCCCAGTAACCTTGGGAAGCTGAGGCAGGAGGATCCTGAGTTCAAAGCCAGCCTCAGCAAATTACCAAGGTGCTAGGCAACTCAGTGAGACTCTGTCTCTAAATAAAATACAAAATAGGGCTGGGGATGTGGCTGAGTGGTCAAGTGCCCCTGAATTCAATACCCAGCACACACACACGCGCACACACACACACAAAAGCGGGGGGGGGGGGATTCTTACTTTCAAAGGAATATATTATAAGACAGAAAAGGAGAGTTAAAATGGCTGACAATGAAATTCTTAAGCTACCACATATTAAAAAGTGACACTATTGGGCTGGGGATGTGACTCAAGCGGTAGCGTGCTCGCCTGGCATGTGTGCGGCCCGGGTTCGGTCCTCAGAACCACATACAAACAAAGATGTTGTGTCCACCGAAAACTAAAAAAAAAATAAATATTAAAAAGTTCTCTCGGGCTGGGGATGTGACTCAAGCGGTAGTGCACTCGCCTGACATGTGTGCGGCCCGGGTTCGATCCTCAGCACCACATACAAACAGGGATGTTGTGCCCACCGAAGACTAAAAAATAAATATTAAAAAAAAAAATTTCTCTCTATCTCTCTCTCTGCCTGTCACTCTCTCTTAAAAAAAAAAAAAAAAAGTTCTCTCTCTCTCTCTTTAAAAATAAATAAATAAATAAATGACACTATAGCTGGGCATGGTGGCATACACCTGTAATACTATCAACTCAGGAGGCTGAGGCAGGACGATTGCAATTTCAAAGCCAGACTCAGCAACTGAGAGAGGAGGCTCTAAGCAACACAACAAGAACCTATTTCTAAATTAAGGGTTAAAAAAGGGAAAGAGTCAGGGGTCTGGATGTAGCTCAGTGGTTAGGTTTCCCTGGGTTCAATCCCCAGTACCCCCCCCCCAAAAAAAAGCCACTATAATTCAGGAAAAAAGATGACTTACTGTTCACCTTCAGCAGGAGGAGTCCAGGCCTCTTCAATCAGTCGAAAGACAGAATCGAAATAAGTCAGATAGAACTGCCAGTCATCTGAGCTAAAATCAGATTGAATGATGCACACAGAATTAAACCCAAGTTGTGACAAATCTGCCTTAGGAACCATGATGTTAACTTAATTTTCTAAGTTTTAGTTTCGTATGTGCCAAGAATAATCCACCCCTCCCTCTGCAGCCCTAAAAGGGCAGCACTCAAGTGTCACTTTCAAAGTGAAAACTTGAAACAAACTACTCTGTACTTCAATAAAATGACCAGGTCTAGAAAACTAATATTCCTAACAGAAAACTCCCCACACAGCACTATCAAACTGGAGGTGGCATAGGTAGGAAGGAAGCCTTATTTTAAGCTTTACTGAATTTGACAAATAATAATTTTCAACATTCATTCTCAAGATTCAACTAATATTTAGCATCACGGTGGTAAAAGTACCATTATCTCTCTTTACTAAAAGATGAAGGCTCATTGAAAACACATCCAGGACATAACTACAAGAATATTCTATGCCCAGCAATCTCAAAATACACAAATAAAATGTGTCTACAGTGAAGTCTTAAAGCCTCACTGTAGTCTCATAGCACAAAAAGCAGCATCTACTCACTTTTTTAGTAAGAGGCGCCTGGAAAGGGCATTACACTCTGGCCACCTGCTCAGCTTCTTATACATAGCCATGCATTTATTTTCCCGACTCTGAATCTCACTTGTCAGCTTCTCTGCAATTAAAAGTTACAAAAGTTGGTGAACTGCTTTCATTTCTACTTACAACCAGAGGCTCCGGGTTTAACCCCCAGTACCAAAAAATAAAATGGAGGGGAACATGTACCTTTTGAAGGATATAAAGAAATAGTAAATGAAAGAGACTCTGGGGTAGGTGTTTAGATCTAGGATATCTTCCACACTCCTTGAATTTTCTGAATCCAAAAATTATTTTCAATTAAAAAGTTGTTTAGATGGGATATAATTATATCCTGTCTGATTCAAATGTAATAAATAACTTAATTAATTAATTAATTAATTTTAAAAAGAAGTAGTTCAGGGGCTAGGGATATAGCTCAGCCGGCAGAGTGCTTGCCTTGCATGCAGAAGACTCTGGGTTCAATCCCCAGCACCACAAAAAAAAAAAAAAAAAAAAAAAAGTAGTTTAGGTGCACACATCTGATATCCAAGCACCTCAGGAAGCTGAGGCAGGAGGATTGGGAGTTCTAAGCCAGCCTCAGCAAAAGCGAGGCACTAAGCAACTCAGTGACACCCTGTTTCTAAATAAAATACAAAATAGGGCTGAGCTCGGTGGTCAAGTGGCCCTAAATTAAATCCCTGGTAACTCCCCCACAAAAAATAATTTAGGGCTAGGGTTGTAGCTCAGTGGGAGTGCTTGCTTTGCATGCATGAGGTGCTGGGTTCAATCCTAAAAACCACATAAAAATAAATAACATAAAGGTATTGGGTTCATCTACAACTAAAAAAGACAGCTGTTTAGCTGGGCATGGTGGCACGTGACTATAATCCCAACATATTGAGAGGTTGAGGCAAGAGGATCACAAATTGGAGACCAATCTCAGAGCTTACCAAGGCAGGCCCTAAGCACTCAGTGAGAATTTGTTTCAAAATAAAAAATAAAAAGAGCTGGGAATGTAGCTCAGTGGTTAAGTGCCCATGGGTTTAATCCCTGGTACAAAATATAACAAGGTGACAATCATACATGATTCTTTTATATCTTCATATCTTTGTTTCTGTATGAGGAAGGACTTTTTTCATATAGAGGATTTGATTAACAATTTTCCTGTCTTAACAGGAAAAAATACTCTAGGGGCCTGGGATTATAGCTCAGTGGTGGAGCACTTGCCTCTCACATGTGAGGCACTGGGTTCAATCCTCAGCACCACATAATAATAAATGTATTGTGTCTGTCTACAATTAAAAAAAATAAAAATTTTTTTTAAAAAAAGGAAAACTTTAATAGTTACCTCCTAATTTCCCTCTAATGACATCCAAGGCTTCCTGATACTTTCCCAGTCGTTCCAAGATCATGTAATAAAGTTCAACCTTGTAGAAGAAATAAACAAGTGTAATCATTGAAACTTTTCAATAAATGATAGTCATACGAAAGTTTTTAAAATAATAGAAAATGATATATCTTCTAATGAGATGAAGCTGTTGGAAACTGCCACATAGGAGCTGAGCATCCCTTAGCTCTGAGTGATGAAAATGTGGAGACTGGTTTCCCTGACAGGGAGGAAAGTAGATCCCCATTTCCACTCAGCAGAAGAGCACAGCTTTGGGAGTGGGCATTACCTAGTGCAAGCGGGCTGCCCCTTGTATCATTACCCCTCTGCCTAATATGAATGGAATGTTCTTTTGAACAGCCTCCCCCAATAAAACCTAGGTTTGAGGCATGCCCCCTCTTTCTTTCCTGCCTTGCCTCCTTTGTGGGAGCTGGGTCAGTGGGGCCATCACAGAACCCAAAGAAAAAGGTATTTTTCTGTCTGTGTCATTAATTTGTGTTAGCCCAGTTCTCCCGGAGTGACCCTGACTGGTTTAGTAGTGTGTTGCGAAAGAAAGTAATAATCAGACAACAGTGTCTTCCCCATGCATACACATCTCAGCTTGCAATATTTGCTAGAGACAGCTCAGTGTTCATTAAACCTAAGCAGAGAGCTTCCAAAGCTTCACATATACAGAAATGACAAGACTGGAAACGCAGCTATACAGTTGGAACAAATCAACAGTACATAATTTTGCAATTCAAACTAGTGGTACAAAATAATGGAATCACAAGAGTTGAGCTTAAAACACTCACTTCAGCCTCAGCTTCTATCTTGTCCTCTTTCACCATTTTTTCTACCATTCTCTCAGCAAGGGGCAGAAACATCGTTTTTGAGAGGTTTTCATCCTGTGCTGATATAGACTAGAAGAGGGAAGATACATATTGAATTCTAATTCTCTGCTTGAACTATTTAATATTATCATGAAGACCATTACTGTGATTCTGGCACACACTTATCAATCCACTATGTCATATATTAGACCTAATCTAAATCTGTCAAAGTTATACATTATAGAGTGGTTGGCTTTACAAGAGATTTCTTTACTAAACATTCATCATCCTACCAGGTGTGGTGTGGTGTACCCCTCCTGTAATTCCAGCTACTCAATCAGCTGAGGCAGGAGGATTCCAAGTTTGAGACCAGCCTAGGCAATTCAGTGAGAACGTGTCTCAAAATAAAAAATAAAAAGGGCAGAGGATGTAACTCAGAGGTAGAACCCCCACTGGGTTCAATTCCCAAAGCTACCAAAAAAAAAAAAAAAGAATCACTACCCCATGCATTCTTGAAATACAGAACTTCCATGATGACATAACTTATAAATAGGTTTTTTATACATTTCTCTAGAAATATGTAAAGATCAAGGATATCATCAGGTGTTTGAAAAAGAAAGCTTTATGGACATCTTTTTTTTTTTTTTCTTAAGCCCCCTCATGTATTTATTTATTTATTTATTTTAAGATGTTAACAGGGCTGGCATTGTGGCTCAGAGGTAGAGCACTCACCTAACATGTATGAGGCACTGGGTTCAATCCTCAGCACCACATAAAAATAAAACAGATTTTAATAGAACTAAAAAATAAATATTAAAAAAATATGTTAACATATTAAGAGAAATGCCAATTCCTCTTATTCCTGCACTTTATTATTAATTAGTTAATTTAAATTGATAATTAAAATTAACACATCAGTAATTTTAACATTGTTGGAGATTCCGCTCAGAACTCACCCCTTGCAAACAACTTTTCAAGGTAAATATTATAAAGAAACTAAGGTTAAGACATTCCCCTAAAAGCTCTATAAGTCATGTGGTAAAAGCCACATGTATCTGAAGGCAGACATGTCTGACCCCAGAACATCTGTTCTTAATCACCACATTTTACCTCCTTCCTCCCTACCCTTTCCTACATAAAAATCTCACTTTGATCCTTACAGCAGTTCTGGGAGATAACTGTCTCCATTCTGCAAAAGAGCAAACTGAGGCTCAGAAAGGAGAAATGCTTAAGCAAGACCACCCAGTTCAATGCCCTGCTCACTAACATACAGTATTGTCTTTAAAATAAACATCAGATTAAAATACCAAACACTTCCAGTTAACTTGATCAAATAAGCCAGCAATGGATCAAAGCCTCAGGAAATACACCATGCTGCATACAAATAAACTAATATACCAACTCATAAAGAATACCAAATCCCCAACTTAAAAAGTCAACTGATAGGCCAGCACAATGGCACATGCCTGTAAACCCAGCTACCTGTGAGGCTGAGGTAGGAAGATTGCAATTAGTCCAGCCTTGAGAACTTAATAAGGCCCTGTCTTTAAATAAAAAGTAAAATGAAAGTACTGGTGATGTAGATCTGTGATAGAGCACCTCTGGGTTCAATCCCCACTACTGGGGTTAAAAAAAAAAAAGTCAACTGACAATACGTAAAGTCCTTGTTTGATACACACACTGCAATTCATTACCCAAGAAATTCAGAAGACACATTAATATGATGATTTTAAAGACAAACCTCAATTCCATTCTGAATGCCATACTCACTTGCATAATTAAGCTCATCACAGACCAAAAGTAGTAAGGGTTTTTGGGGACAATCTTATACAGAGCCATGCCAGCCTGAAAGACAGAGAGCCATAAATACTTAATTCAGAAAACATCATATGGAGACCATTAATAACCTAGATATGTGGCAAGAAGTTTCCCAAAGGAACTGCAACATAATTAAAAATCCCAGTTGGTTTAAGTGCCTAGTAACTTGGTGGCTACAGCAACAGAGGTAATCACAAAGGTGAATTTTTACATCATGAGTGATATTTCACCAAATGCAATTCAGTGTAGTTCTAGTAACAACCAAGCAAACACAAAATTTGAATTATAAATGTATATCAATAAGCAGTCTTTACTGAAGACACCACATTAGCCAGTTATAGTAAAACAAATAAGCAAAAAACACCAGATAGTATATTTGAACTTAAAAATCAGAAAAAAATCACTATGACATAACTTTAAAAAATAATTATTAGGAAAATACTCAAATTCTTTCAATATATCACTAATTAAGAGCTAATCCTTTCACACTGAAATGTATAATATGCTAATACTTCAAAGCAAGGACAGCACAAAAGAGTGAAATACATCTATTCAAATAACTGAAAAATCTGTCCATAATTAGCCAACTAGTAATTGAAGCTAAGAACTCCATCAGCTAATTATCATAGTTGCTACTTTATATCTTTTAAACTTTCACCAATCATCAGTCTACTTCCAAAATTACACGGAGCCCCATAAGGCAGAAGAAACTATCCCTGCCAAAGATACAAAGATTTGAGTCTCTGTCCCAAAGGTTTAGCATGCACAAAGCCCTGGGTTCAATTCCCAGCACTGCCATTAAAAAAAAAAAAAAAAACACCTAGGAAAAGAAGAAAGTATACAAATAACTAAAATTTACTTAGTGATAAAAATAAATGTCATGGGGCTGGGATTGTGGCTCAGCAATAGAGTGCTCACCTAGCACATGGGAGGCCCTGGGTTCGATCCTCAGCACCACATAAAAATAAATAAATAAGATAAAGATAATGAATAGGTAGATACATAGATAAATGTCACACTCCTATAATCCCAGCTACTTGGGAAGCTGAAGCAGGAGGACTGATAGTTGAAAGATAGCCTTGGGCAACTTAGTGTCTCAAAATAAAATAAACAGGGCTAGAGATATAAATCAGTAGTAGAGTGCTTGTTAGCACACAATACACCCTGGGTTCAATCCCCAGTGCCCAAAAATAAATAAATAAAATTCATAAAATTGTCATATACTAAACGCTATGCTAGGAGCGGAGCAAGGTGGTACTTGCCTGTAATTCCAGCAACTTGGAAGGCTGAGGCAGGTGAATTACAAGTTCAAAGCCAGGCTGAGCAATTTAGCAAGATCCTGACCCAAAATAAAAATTTTACCAAAATGACTTGGAATGTATATTAGTGGTAAAGCCCCTGGGTTCAATCCCCACTACAAAAAAATAAAAATAAACAAAAAACCAAAAACATCATGCTAGGTGTTTCCAGAAAACGTAAGGTTTATTTCCTTTCCTCTTCTTTAAGGAAAAATGTGTTGATCCCAAGAAAGGATTACAACTTTTTTAACAGATTGATTTGGTGTAGCATATTCTTTTTCAGGGAGTACAGGAAATTGAACTCAGGGGAAACTGAACTATGAATCACATGCCCAGCCCTATTTTGTATTTTATTTAGCGGCAGGATCTCAATGAGTTGCTTAGTGCCTTGCTGTTGCTGAGGCTGGCTTTGAACCCCCCCCAATCCTCCTGCCTCAGCCTCCCCAGCTCCTGGGATTACAGGCATAAACTATAGGGCCCAGCTGGTGTGGTGTATTCTTGGTTATCAAAAATACTCATGTAGCTTTGGGATTTCAATTGGTAAATATGATGTGTGGGAAAGCATGATACACACTACAATCTCATTCACACAAAATGGAATGTTGTGTATGTATACTTATAACCTGTGGGGATGCATCCAAATAAGCTGCTTATGAGTGGATAACTTTGTTCTTTGCTTGTGTTTCTATTTTTCCTTTAATGCACATATTACTTTAAAAAAATAAATAAAAGAAGCTATTTTTAAAACCTGTTTTTTTTTTTTTAAAAGCCTCTCTCAAGTAGCACTCCTCCATATGGACCATGAAAGTCAAACAGAATGTCTTTCCTAGATTGGGGGTAAGGATAAATATTCAAGTATATATGAATAGTTAAATGGGTATGTCAAATATGAGTAGGGAAAAAATTAGTCTGAAAAAAACCCAAAACATTAAAGAAAGTAAGTCAAGATGGTTAGAGTACTTGCCTAGAATGCAGGAGGCCCTGGGTTAGAGCCCCAAAATGGATGGAAAGAAAGAAGGAAAACAGGAAGAAAATCAAAGGACATCTAGTAACCTGGTGGCTACAGCAACAGAGGTAATCACAAAGGTGAATTTTTACATCATGAGTGATATTTCACCAAATGCAATTCAGTGTAGTTCTAGTAACAACCAAGCAAACACAAAATTTGAATTATAAATGTATATCAATAAGCAGTCTTTATCTGAGAGTAGGGGAAAGGGTTGAGAGGTAGAGTTACCTTTGTTGTAAAGATTTCAAAAAGGAGCCTCCATGGAGTAGGGAAATGATAAATACAAAACTATATTCCTCAAGGAAGAGTATGTCAGCAGTACAGTAAAGAGACAAAATAGGAAGAAAGGAAAGAAGAGCGGATGAGGCGCTAAACCAGGATGAAGTAGATCAAATAAAAAAAACTAAAAGCACTGTAGAGGCAGAATCAAGATGATGTGCAGACAGAATGAATATACAGGATAAGATAAAGCACCTGGGATGATTTGAGGTGCCTAACAGGGTACACACACTCTGGAGGTAAAGAATGGAAAGTGTTAGAAAGTCCATTTTACTTATCTGGGAAAAGGAAACATTTTTATGACGACATTCCTAAAGAAAAAAGACTGCAGAATATCAGAAATTACTATAAAAATTTAATATAAAATAAAACAAAACTTTCAGGTCCATACCCTGTCATCTTGCAGACTTGCAGAAGATCTGCTGATACAGAAAATTTTGATGATAGACAAGTTTTGAAACATGGCTCTAAGTTGGTGACTCAGAACAGGAATATCATTTACAGGAAAAGGAAAGTCTAATTAAGGTACAAATGAATGAACGACAACTCTTCATTAACGGTGATTTTAAATATTACCTGTCAAGCATATGATTTGGAGTAAATTTTCTGATTCCCTGGCTTCCTTTCCTCCAACCTCCAGATATTATGCTGATGCTACTCTAGGCAATGGGGATTCAGCATTGAACAAAACAAACAAAAGCCTTCACTCTCATGAAACATGACATTAAATTTGTAAAATACCTATTACCTTTGACTGACATGTCACATTCAAAATAAACATGTGTATGTGGGCGGAGGGTGGTGTTACAGAATTTTAAACTACCTTTTAAACAACAAAGGTAGTATGAAAATTACACATTCCAGGCTGGGGATGTGGCTCAGTATAGAGCACTTGCCTAGCATGAACAAGGATTTATCCAAGCAGAACAAAAAATAAATAAATAAAATAAAAGAAAGAAAATTAGACTACTTCATTCTTCCAATATATCAGAATGGAATAATGCAAAAGCAATATATGGTTAAACTATATTAAACAACTTGTTAAACCACACTAAAGCAGTATCTCCAAAAATAAAGAATGTATATACTCCTGGCAATATGTCAAGCTAAGCTATACAAAAATGAAACCTAGCTCTATGTTAAAGCAATATGGATTTCTTTTCCTTTAACCAAAATTTACATGAATATCATTATTGTATGAACTCATCATTTTCATGAATGTGTGTATATACACAGTACATGTGTATTCTATTGGGTCATAAAATTAACACGTTTTTTTAAAAAAATATAAATCAAGATGAAAGCAACCATAGCTTTATACCCTGGTAACATTTTGGCACATACTCTTAAGAAACTTTGTTTAAAATATATTTCCAAGGCCAGGGTTGTGACTCAGTGATAGAGCACTTGCCTACCATGCGTGAGACACTGGGTTTGATCCCTAGCACCACATAAAAATAAAAACAAATAAAATAAAGGTATTATGTCCATCTACAACTAAAAAAATATTACAAACACCCACACCCACACACATTTCCAGCTAGGCATGGTGGTGCACACCTATAATTGCAACAGCTCAGGAGGCTCAGAGGATCACAAGTTTAAGATCAGCCTCAGCAACTTGACAGGGTCCTAAGCAATTTAATGAGAGCCTGTCTCAATAAAAAATAAAAAGGGCTGGGGGCGGGGGTATGGCTCAGAGGTAACCTGGGTTATATCCCCGGTACCAAAATTATATCTCACACACACACTTTTTTCCTGCCTAGAAGTAGAGATGTCATTAAGAATTTATATGTATCAGACTGGGGTTGTGGCTCAGAGGTAGAGCACTCGCCTCGCATGTGTGAGGCACTGGGTTCGATCCTCAGCACCATATAAAAATAAAGATATTGGGTCCACCTATAAATAAAAACTAAATATTAAAAAAAAGAATTTATATGTATAGATGTTTGTATTGCCAATTTTTTTATTTTACATTAAAATAAAATGACAATCTCTGAATACTTTTCTTGAAAAGATCAATAAATTATGATAAATTTTTTAAAGAAATTACATTTGGACAAAAAAGAAATTCTTCTAATTTGAAACCTGAATGAAGGAATGTAAATATTGATTTTAAGGAGTAAGTATTTATAATAACATGGTATCCTTCACCCTACCCGTTTTAGCAATTATTATAGTTTGTTATTTCAGGTAAATAATAAGATAAAATTTAAAAAGCTTTGCTTTCAGAAGGCATTGTATCCACAAAAAAAGCAATTCTCTTTTGTTGGGCCAAGGATTTTACCCAGGGGCACTTAACCACAGATACACATCCCCAGTACCCTACCCCTTTTTTAAATGAGTCATTTAAAAAATAATAATAATTTTTTTAGTTTTAGGTGTACACAATATCTTTTATTTTACATTTATGTGGTGCTGAGGATCTAAGCCGGTGCCCTGTGCATGCTAGGTGAGCACTCTACCACTGAGCCACAACCCCAGCCCCTAAATGAGTCATTTTTTTAAATGTGATTTTTTTTTTATACCTTTATTTTATTTATTTTATGTGGTGATGAGGAAAGAACCCAGTGACTCACATATCCTAGGCAAGCGCTCTACCACTGAGCTACAACTGTAGCCTCCCCAGTCCTTTTTTATACTTTATTTAAATTGAGGAGGCTGGCTTTGAACTTGCAATTCTCCTGCTCAGACTCCTGAGCCACTGGGATTATAGGCATGAACCACAAGGATCAGCTATAAAAAAGCAATCCTTAAAAATATACTAGCTTGGGGTCAGGCACAGTGATGCACGCCTGTAATCCCAGCAGCTCAAGAGGCTGAGACAGGATCTGGAGTTCAAAGCCAGCCTCTGCAAAAGCTAAGCAACTCAGTGAGACTCTGTCTCTAAATAAAATACAAAATAGAACTGGTAATGTGGCTCAGTGGTCAAGTGCCCCTGAGTTCAATCCCCACTATCCAAAAATAAATAAATAAAAATTAAAAAATTTACTAGCTTGGGGCTGGGGTTGTAGCTCAGCAGCAGAGTGCCTGCCAAGTATGCGTGAGGCACTGGGTTTGATCCTCAGCACCACATAAAAACAAACAAATAAAGTCATTCTGTCCATCTACAACTACCAAAAAAAATTTTTTTTGAAAATTTAGTGCCCCTCAAAAAAAAATAAATAAATAAATAAATAAATAATATATATATATATATATATATATATATATATATATATATATTCACTAGCTTAAAGCTGGCTCTAGAAACACAGGCTTGTAGTTCCAGATACTTGGGAGGATAAGGCAGGCGGATATCAGGTTCAAAGTCAGTCTCAGCAACTTAATGAATTGAGTCTCAAAAAAAAAAAAAAAAAAAAAAGGTTGGGGATGTAGTTCAACAGTAGAGAGCCCCTGAATTCAATTCCCAGTACTGATAAAAAAAAAAACAAAAACACTAATTTGACTTCCTAACTTAATGAGCAGGTTTCATTTTTCTGGGACATCAGCTTTACCAACACACTAGTTCAAACATGTCCAAATGAGGTTCCTTCAAATATATACAAAGAACACCTAAAATACAATAATTGGTAAATACATCATTGCAGGCAGACAAATAACAAAACAAAAAAGCACTGTTCCAGAAAATGAGGCATTTTCCCCTGTTGGTTTAAAACATCTCCACAGGCCAGAAACAAATTAAATTTACAAATCAGATATAAACTTTTAAAGTTTCTGTACTGTTCACTTTTTGCTCTGGGATTTCTGCCCATTTTCTGAAAATTTAACAGGAATCTAACCAGTGGGACACTTTGACCCAGACTTACCAAAACCAAACAAAACATACCATTAAGCCACAAAAGAAAAGTCAGTTCTTTCCCAAATAACACATTTAAAGAACTTGTAATAATAACTGTTCATCTCCACACACAAATATATGAATTCAATTACACACACACACTCTCACTCATAGCAGTTAAATCACATTAGAGAGACTTTTACCTTTAATAGTAAATCCCTTAGCCCAGTAGGTTTGGGAGATAAGTTACCTGTTGCATTTTCTTGTATTCACCCACTCTGGCATAAGCCATGAAGAGATGAGAGTGATACTCCTCACTGTTGGGGACTTTCTTCACAGCTGCCTCATAAAGTTTTGTAACCAACTCCGCTAAGATTAAAAAAAAAAAAAAATGAGACTTAGTCATACTCCAATAAATTAAACCCTAAAAGCATTTTAATTTGTCTTTTATTTGGTGAAAAGAGATATCACCTATCATTAATGAAAGAGATATCTGCTTTGCCTTACCTGGTCATTACTATTCCCTTGCTTCTTGTTAGGATGAAACATGGATTAAATCAAGCCTCATCACATTTACAGTATTTACAGACCCTCCAGGACCTGGCCTCTCTCTCTCCTCCCTTTTTCCCAGGAGTTTATCATCTAGATACATCAAACTATAATTCCACTAGACTCCCTGTGATGTATCATAACTCCATGCCTTCATATTCTTGCCTCCACATAGATTCTCCCCCTTCTTTTATGCTTAGTGAGCATGACCCAACACCCAATTCAGATTTAATTTTCTCTGCAAGACCTTCCCTGAATACTGTCTCTGCTTCTCCAGTCCAACTGCATCAGTGTATCTCTCTGCCATCTTAGAATCCAATAAATAATTCTATTACAGCATTTAGTAATACACAATGCAGTATACATCCTAATGATCCATTTCCCATTATGAATTTTGAGGAATATCCAGGCAGAAAAGAGTTTTCTTCATTTTTGACTCATACTGATACAATACCTGGCACAGAGAAACGACCACCAACATTTGTGAAATGGATTTTTTTTTTTGGTTTAGGTACTGAGGATTGAACTGGGGGTGCTTTGTCACTGAGCTACATTCCCAGTCCTTTTATTTTATATTTTGAGACAGGGTCTAACTAAGTTGCAGAGAGTCTTGCTAAGTTCCTGAGCTGGCCTCAAATTTGCAATTCTCCTGCCTCAGACTTGGAAGTTACTGGGATTACTGTGCGCCAATGTGCCTATAATAAATTATTTTTTAAAAACACTAGAGGAGAATCAATATACCTGAATCAATATAACATCTAAATAATCAGATATAATACTTCAACTTTAACCTTTTATAAAAGTGTTTTATTTTACCTTTTATATCAAGTTTTATCCTTTGTAAGAACTAAAAACAAAATTAAACCATAAAATAACATTTTATGTCCAGTAGGTTTAAAAGTTAAGAACACTAAGCATTCCACCAAGCATAGTAGTACACACCTATACTCCTGTCAACTCAGGAGGCTGAGACAGGAAGATCACCAAATTCAAGGCCAAGCTTTGCAACTTAGCAAGATTCTATCTCAAAATAAAAAATAAAAAGGGCTGGGCCGAGGCTGTAGTCCAGTGGCAGAGTGCTAGCCTAGCATGTGTAAGGCACTGAGTTCAAGTCTCAGTACCACATAAAATAAAGTATTATGTCCATCTACGACTTAAAAACAATTTTTAAAATTGGGGGGTGGGATGGGGTAGTGCTGGGGATGTAACTCCACCACAGAGTAGTACCCCTGGGTTCAATTTCCAGTACCACCTAAAAAAAAGAATACCAGATATTAGCTTGGGTAGTATGCATGTGTAAGGCCCTAGGTTAATCCCTAGAAGAAACAAAGAAAGAAAACAAAATAAACCAAGTGTTGAAAAGGTTGTGAGAGAATCACAAACTGCCAGTATCGATAGAAAATGATGACATTCGACATACGGCATAACAATTACTTGCCCAGAGTCCCCCAGTGAAATATTATCTGGCAACAAAAATGAATTGAGCACAACCACTTGGATATTAGAGGAAAAATGCAAATCATAGAGTATACTGTATAAACAATTTACATAAAGTTCAAAATCAAGTAATAATGTATTATTAGTTAGGAAAAGAAATGTGGTGATTATTTAAAGAAAAGTAAGAGGGCTAGGGATGTAGCTCAGTGGTAGAGCACTTGCTTTGTATGAAGAAAAGAAGGGAGGAAGGAATGAGAGAGGGAGAGAGCAAGGTGGGAAATGAATAAAAACGGTTCAAGGTATCAAGTACCTCATGGGGGAACTGAGATTAATGAGTAACATCACAGAAAGCCTATCTAATATCAATAGTTCTTTATTTCTTAAATTGAGGGGTAAATTCATGAGTATTCATTATGTATCAAATTTACTAGTATTTTATGTGCAACATATTCTTTCATAGTATGTTATGAAAAAAATGTATGATTTCATAGAAAATTATTTTAAAAAACAACAATAAAAACTTTATTTAAGGCCAGGTGTGGTGGCACATGCCTATAATCCCAGTGGCTCAGGAGGCTGAAGCAGTAGGATTATGAGTTCAAAACCAGTCTCAGTAGAAAGCGATGTGCTAAGCAACTCAGTAAGACCATGTCTAAATAAAATACAAAATAGGGCTGGGGATGTGGCTCAGTGGCAGCTCAGTGGTCAAATGCCTCTGAGCTCAATCTCCAGTACCCAAAAAACAAATAACGCAAAAAAAAAAAAAAAACAACAACAACACTTTATTTAATGCAACTTCTTTACCAATGAAATGAAAGATATGCTCTGAAATAATGTGGGGTAAGGTATGGACAAAATAAAATTAGCCATGTATTAATAATCGCTAAAGGTAAATAATGGTTACAATGGGATTATTATGCTATTCTACTTTCGTTTATTTGAAATTTTCCATATTAAAAAGTTAAAACACCCAGCAAGATCTCCAAAAAATAAAACTTAAAAAAACTGAAGTTAAAATAAGGACAAGGGCTTCTTTAAGCACACCATAAGGTTACAAACAAATTCATTTTAATCATTTCAATTCAAGGAACTTAATACAAAGTAAACTATCCTGTCTGTGAAGTCTTTACAAAGCGTTGGGCACAGTGGCACACAACTATAACCCCAGAGGTTTGGGAGGCTGAGGCAAGAGGATGGTGAGTTTGAAACCGGTCTCCGCCAAGAGTGAGTTTCTAAGCAACTCAGTGAGACCCTGTCTCCAAATAGAAATATAAAATATGGCTGTAGATGTTGAGTTCAATCCCTAGTACCCCCCAAAATAAAAAAGTCTTCACAAATCATGGTTAACATATTAATCTCCTTACTATTAACCATGCAAATCATGAGTGACAAATAAATCAAACAAAACAAAACAGAACAGAACTGGATCAGAAGCACGTGAAAACTCCTAGGTATGATGGTGGCAGCCCTCTAATCCCAGCTATTCAGAAGGCTGAGAGTCACAAGTTCAAGGCCAGTCTGGGCAATTTTGAGAGATCTAGTCTCAAAATAAAAAAGGGCTGTGGATGTACTTCAGAGGCACAGAGGTAGAATCCTCCTGATTCCCAATTTAACAAAGGAGAGAAAAAAAAAAAAAGAAAAGAACTATCCAAAACCAGGAACTCATGGTATGTATACACACAATGAATATTACTCAGCCATAAAGAATGAAATTATAGCATTTACCAATAAATGGATGGAACATGCTAAGAGAAATAAGCCAATCCCCAAAAAACCAGAGGCTGAATGTTCTCTCTGATATGTGAATGTTAACTCACAATAAGCGGGGACAGGGATGGGGAGAGAAATAAAACTTCATCGGATTAGACAAAGGACAATGAGGGAATGGGAAGAAGGATGGAAACAAGAAAGACAGTAGACAGTAGGGGCAGAGCAGAGCCTTCGCCCGCGCCCGGAACAGGCCCAGCGACCCGCCGGCATGGTAGTCTAGTCACCCCAATTGGAGTAGGCGCAGGGCAGAGCAGAGCCGACGCCCGCGCCTGCAAGGTAGGCAGACCTGCGACCGACCGGCAACACAGGCCCAGCGGCCCGTCGGCGTGGTAGACAGATCACCTCAATTGGAGGAGGAGCACAGCCGCCGCCCGCCCCTGCAAGGGAGACTTTGTTAGAGTCTGTTAAAAAGTCTGGATGGCACCTGGCATTTTGCCAGAGAGAGTGGTTAATGTTAGAGTCTGTAAACAAGTCTGGATGGTGCCTGGCAAAATGCCAGAGGGAGTGGCTTGTGAAGTAACACCAGGGAGCCATTAAGTGTGGAGATTCCTTATTGGTTGACTGATGTATCTAGTTTATGCTAATTAGATAAGCTGTGTGGAATGTATAAATACTGCTCCTGTCCTGCAATAAACGGCTTCCACTCCTGCTGTATCAACGTACACAAGTTGTTCGTCACCCCCCGGTTATTTTGCTGCAGCCGGACTGCAGCAAGACCTTTCAACTATACAAGAGCAATATAAATATATAGGGGGAAAATTTCAATAACACAACAGTTTCACCAAGCAGAAAGAAACGCGAGCAGTATGAAAAGACAAGGAAAGAAAGGACCACAAGCAATGCAGGTCAACTCAACTTTAGAAGAGGTAATAGCTGCAGCAGATGGAATGTCAGATAAAGAATTCAGGATATACATGCTTCAGATGATCTGGAGTTTCAAGGAAGACATTAGACAGCAAAATCAGACAATGAAAGATCACTTCGACAATGAATTACATAAACAAATCCAAGAAGCAAAAGATCAACTATACAGGGAGATAGAGGTTATAAAAAAACAAACAGAAATCCTAGAAATGCAGGAAGCAATAAACCAACTTAAAAACTCAATTGAGAATACTACCAGCAGAGTAGAACACTTAGAAGATAGAACATCAGACAATGAAGACAAAGTATTTCAACTTGAAAAGAATATAGACAGCTCAGCAAGACAGTTAAGAAACCATGAGCAGAACATCCAAGAAATATGGGATAACATAAAGAGACCAAACTTAAGAGTCATTGGGATACAGGAAGGTATAAAGGTCCAAACCAAAGGAATGAGCAATCTATTCAATGAAATAATACGAGAAAACTTCCCAGACTTGAAGAATGAGACAGAATCCCAAATCCTAGAAGCCTACAGGACGCCGAATGTGCAAAATCATAAGAGACCCACACCTAGACACATTATAATGAAGATGCCCAACATACAAAATAAGGAGAGAATTTTAAAAGCTACAAGAGAAAGGAAGCAGATTACATTTAGGGGTAAACCAATCAGGATAACAGCTGATCTTTCAACACAGACTCTGAAAGCTAGAAGATCCTGGAATAACATATTTCAAACACTGAAA